ACGAGTCATTATTATGGATGTTAATATATTTTGCATAGGAACAATCAAGTTTTGATTTGAAAGGTCTTAGCGTCTTTTTGAGCATGATATATTCACAGTAAATATTGTTTTTACTTCTTAATTTATCCCAAAAGTAATCTAGTGCATGTATTTCACCATTTTCATCAAAAAGATCTTTCACATACAATATACCACTCTTGATCCATTGTTCAAAACATAAAATTTTGGAATCATATCGGAACAAATTATTGTGCCAGATAAATTGGGATAAAAATTCTTCCTTCAAAATACTGTTGCTTTGCTTGAATTTTTTACACTTATTAAGCATTGAAAAAACTTCCACATAAAATTGCGGGAAATTAGTCAGTTCCCAAAATTTTTTATCATCCAAGTTATAACTCGTTGTTTTAATAATATCATGTATTGATAAATTACTATTTTCTAATAGACTGTTTAAAGTAAAGTGCGTGATTGTATTTTTATCTAAAATTCTTCTTACCCAAGAAGCTTTTGCAGCAGAAAATTTACTTTCAACATCAATTATCCCTATTCCTCCTTGTTCAATTTTACCAATCAAAGTATTTCGTTTAATTCTCTCTCTTTTGTTCCATAGAAAGTTGAAAATGATTTTTGAAACCCTTTTAAAGAAGTCTTTATCAGGATTAGGTAAAATAAATGCATTATACACAAGCTTTGATATTGCTAAAGTATTGATTATTGTACATTTTCCAAATATTGTTAATTTGCGTTTTCGCCAAACACTTAAGATTTTTTCAAGTTTTTCAAGTTTGCTTAGCCAGTTTTTTTCATAACACACGTCTTTATTATGACCTAAGTATATTCCAAGAGATTTAACACTTTCAGTTGCGATTTTTACACCAAATAAGTCATCATTGTTGCAGTACTTATCAATTAAGGAACCAGTTAAAATGCATTCAGTTTTAGATAAGTTTAGTTTCGGACCAGCAACTTTACTAAATTGGTGAATAATATCTAAAGTAGTTGCCAATGAGTTGGTATCTTTTAATGCATTTGTACAGTCGTCAGCATGTTGAACTATCTTGATGTTTTTTGAAGCATTTTCATTAAATGATAGACCATGTATATTTTTGTTATTTCTAATTTGGATAGCAAGTGTTTCTAATACGAAAATGAAGAGAAGTGCAGACACCGGACATCCTTGACGTATTCCCCTTTCCATAGAGCAAGATTTTGAAATCCATCCGTTATTTTTAATTTTGAAAGTAGGATTCGTTATTTTTATCACTGAAGGACCAACAGTCGATCAAATTAAATGATTTCATAAAGTTTCTTAAAGCCTTTACATTTCTATTATTTTCGATGATATCTATTTGACAGTTGAAATCTCCGCATACTATTAAGTTATCTAAATTCATAGCATGTTTATTGACCCATTTCAACATTTTATGTAAAAATATACTCTTCTCATTTTCATTATTTGGCGCATAAAAATTGGCCAAACTTAAAATTTGTTCAGATAATTTAACATTTACCAATAATTTTCTACCATCAATAGAAGAATGTTTATCTAGTATTTCAATGTCAAGATTTTCTTTAAATAAAATCGATACACCTCTACTATATACCGAATTAGAAAAACTATGAATTTTATATCCATACCAACGTGAATTATAGATTGCTTCACTTGTTTCAACAAAATGTGTTTCTTGCAAACAAATTATGTCAAAATTTGCATCTTTGAGCCATTCAAACAACAAAATCCTTTTCCCATAAGTATTTAAACCTCGTGCATTTATAGAATAGAATGATAGTAGATTTGTCCCCATTTACATGAAGCTATATAGATATGCTTAATACCCCTGGTCCTTTACATTTCTCTTCCTGTTAGAGTTTCGTCTTGCCTCTCGAATGAAGCCGTCCAGATTAGTCTGGTTATCGTCTGTATTCTTCCTTTGTAGTGAGTTACTTCTGAGTTTCCTGGTAAAGTTTGATGCTATTTTACTCAAAACCGTGCCTAGTCTGTTCTCACCCGGCCATTTATCCGGATTTGTATGGAGGGTGGCTTCTGGATAAAGTCCGGTTCCCCAGAAGATATCGTTTGTGGCTTCGGCGAATAATGTGCTAGCATCTGAATTTTCCAGTTTCTCGCGAAGTTCTGGTACCTGTGTAGCTTTAGCATGGATAATCTCCTCCATTACCGTTTGTTTTTGATCTTGCCACTTTTCTGGAATCTTCACTTTATCTCCTATTCTCTTAGCCTCCAGAGCTGTTGGAGCAATACGGATGTTTTCAGTAGCGTTGAAATCTCCAGAACGAAGAGCTTTAGTAAGCTGGTAGGCATGCTCAGCCGATCTGTGGGTTTCCCCGAAGACCTTGATATCACAGGGGAAAAAGTTAGATAAGGGGTTTTCCTTTCCTTGGAACACCACTATTCGATCAGTAGGTTCGCTGTAGTGCTCACAATCTTTTGATCCCGGCTTATGTCCAGGCCGTTTGCACACACGGCATGCTATTTCTTTTATACAGTCTTTGGCCCTGTGCCCAGTGTCCCAGCAGTTGTAGCATTGTATCTGAGACTCACCCTTCTCCTGTCCATAATGATACAATCTACATTTGATATCCGCACATTTTACAAATCTAGGCAGGGACTTTCCTGTGTCCAGAGGCTTTATGTAGAGAAATCGGTTGCCGTTAAGCACGCTTGTCATGCGGTTTGTCGTCGGGTGTCTGATTTTTTCGTATTTAATTTCACTTTTCAATTCTACTTGGAAGCTGTCTAACATTTCAAGGATAGCACTGTCATCAACAGATAACGGCAATCCGCTAATTGTGACCTTTAGGACTGGATCATTAGGACTTTTTGCTCCTGTAGAATAGGGATTTGAGTCATATACCTGTACAGAAAGGTTACGGAGCTCGAATCCTTCAACGGTCAACTTTGTCCTACTCTCTTTACATTTTAGATACACTCGCCAAAGGTCTCTATCACGCTGAATACAGTGAATGTTATCCCCGATCTTATCATGAATCGCCTCATAGAGTTCAAAATCAGTTACCCTGTTACTTTGGTCAGATTGAAGATCTCTGTTCTTCAAATAAATCGGTTTGAACATTATGTTTGCACCGTCAGAATTCATGATTGTTGACAATAGGCTTACCTGAGGAGTACTCACTCGTGAACTCCGCGACACGGTAAACAATTGTATACAAATACACAATACTAATTCCATATCCACATTACAAAATCACATAAACTTGGTTTGAACTTGATGATCACCACTTCTTATGTTGATTTTGAAACAGAATGGAATTCTATATTCTATAAATTTGAAGTTTTTAAAAGGAACTCAAGAATCATCTTTTTAGAAAAGCCTTTCTTTAAAGTGTGTATGTGTGTATGTACATATGGCTTGTCTTAACATGTGACTGCATTTTAAGATTTTCTTACCTTTTTTATAGGTGTATGTAAGATTATTTTAGTCTTGCTTTTATTATGTAGATTGTTATATCTTTGTAAAGCTCTAAAGTTTATATAAGATAAGGCGCTGCATAAATTTTATTATTATTATTAATGCATATTTAAATGTACTTAGTAAAGAAATTAGGCCCAACCTGGAGCCTTAACCTTGAATCCAATAGCCATGAGTTTTACAATTTTGGTAAAGAGCTCCTTGTTCCACTACAATCATGCCATCAGTTTGACTGCTTTACGTAGGAGTAAAAAATTTGCATATTTTGATGGTTTTTATCCCAAGCCATCAGGTCTCAGGAAGCCAGACACCATGGATTCATGTTAATATTTTTACTGTGTTCTGTAGTGTAATCATATTTTCCTCTTTCTCCTGAATCATTCTCTATTTTCATTTCAAAGTATAGAATTTCATACATCTAGAAGTTATTCGCTCTTGCAAAAATGCACCCTTTCACCAAATATATGGCCATGGTTTACTTTTAGCGCATTTTTTAATTAACAATTTTTGTTATTTCTGTTATTTTGTTAGTTTATGAAATCCTTTTAGCACGTCTTTGGTGACCAAGTCTTGTAACGATCTGTTGGAATCCGTTGGGCACTAATTTTGCTCATTTTTCCTTATTCTTATGAAGCAGAATTTATTCAAATACTACACGAGAAGAAAAATCTTTCTGTGGCTTTCAACATTTCAAGTAGTGAAAACCTACTTTCATTGGTATGTCGACACTATATATATATATATATATATATATATATATATATATATATATATATATATATATATATATATATATCCCGGTGAACTCGAAATGAGAGACACCAGTCTGCCTCATCTGCTTCATATGTGGATGTTTAACTAGCTATGTCATTAATGGCTAACAAACAACTTAATGGTATAACAAACAAGATGACTTCAGCTTTTCCTACGTCAACTTTCTCCACTTTTGTTGTAATTCTACAATCACCTGGTGTTTATGTCTCCCTTGTTTGATTCGATACTCTAAGGGCATAAATTTTCAGACACAGACAGGCTACTTACAAACAAGTCGATGTTAATGGGTTTTCAATTTTCTCGTTTTAAATTAGCATTTTGCAAATTCTCTGATCGTTATAATGACCTTGTTTGAAAATGCATCCTGTCATTGGGTCGTATTTTAACCGACTTTTCTCACCAATTAAAAAGCCAATTTTATGCTTTTTTGACTCCAGATAACTCCTTTAATTTTTATGCTTTTTTGACTCCAGATAACTCCTTTAATTTTTATGCTTTTTTGACTCCAGATAACTCCTTTAATTTTTATGCTTTTTTTGACTCCAGATAACTCCTTTAATTTTTATGCTTTTTTTGACTCCAGATAACTCCTTTAATTTTTATGCTTTTTTGACTACAGATAACTCCTTTAATTTTTATGCTTGACTACAGATAACTCCTGATCAACAGAAGGCTCACGATGAGTGTGACCTGTCATTCAGCTGTCTCCATACGTATGCTTTTATAACACGAAATATCCAGATTATGTCTTGTGTAATACAATAAAAACCAAAATATTTTTTCCCAAATATTTATTTCATTTCATGGAATTTTCACTTAGTGTTATGCGAAAGAAACCATCTGAAAAGTTACTATGATGACAAAATAATGAAGCACATATCAACTATACAATAATAAAGCTGCGGAACTAGACACTAGACATAACATGTGTTTGGATATAACACAAGAATCTCGTGTATTGCAATAACAAAAGACGGGGGCAGTTAAATGCTTAGTCATTGAATCATGTGTATTCAAGTACAAAAACATCAAAAGCAAATAACCACCTCAATGTTAACAAAATGAACTTGCAAGCTTAATGATGGGAAGTGATGTTCATGACACACAACATTTTATCATGATAATGATTATCCTAGAAACAATATGTACATGTATTTACACCTTTTATCAATTTTCAGAGTTTTTGTACATCTGTTATGATTATTTACAAATCTGGAAGTGCCAACTTAACATTGTTAATTCTATAAAAATAGCCATTGCTTTCTGACTTCATGATACATATACAAGTAATTGCTTTTAATACCCGATTGTTTTCATACATTCATTCACTCTGCAATGGTATTTACAACTTTTCAATCAGGAAGAAAAACTCAAAATTTACAAAAATACTATGAAGAAAAAATTTAATACAAATTTTACACATATGTATATGGAAATATTAACACATATTCAAGCTCACAATTGTTTAAAATTCCAGATAAATTAGCAATTGAAATCTTCACCTTCATAAGGAGTAATTTCGTCACTTATACAAATAAAGAGTCTTGAATTATGATCATTCTAGTTCAGAAATTTTCTTACCCATCCTATTCTTATGTTATCTGAATGATACCAGTCCCATTGGCCTTAAAGGTCATCTCATATCAAACAGCCATCAACTCCTCAATATTCCTTTGTGAAACAAAGCTTGCACTAGCCACTAGAGTCATGATCTGAACAAATTTAAATCTACGATATATTCGACTTCTTATGCTCTCCTTATATCAAAGATTTTTATGTAAAATTTAAAACCCTATTTTGGCCCCTTCTTTGCCCCAAGGACCATTTTTCTGAGTAAACAAAAAAATTGCTTACATACTGACTCAACATTTACTGTGAATTTTAGTTCTCGAGAAAAAAAAATCATAATATGCCCAAGGGCGAAAGCGAGATTGAATAAAACTGGATATGTAGCACTGGGGAACAATTCCTAAGCATTCAAAGGTTTACAAACAATGCACATTGTAAGATGATAACAAAGGTTAATGGGTCACCTTAAAAGTAAGTAAATTATACTACATCTCAAACAATAGGAAACAAAAGAGCCTTACTTTCAATTATGTGCACTTGTATTTCATAGAATCCATCTAATGAATTTGAACAATGGGGGATTTATGATATTATTATTTACAATACTCAGAAGAAATTTTCTGACTGAAAAAAGAGTCTGTATTTACACTATAATTAATTCACAAACTACTACCTGAGATGTTGGCTAGGACTCTTAATATAATAATGACTGAATGTGACAGAGACAGAGAAATATGATGATCTGTAAGAACTAGAATTCTGAATGTGATTTTCATCCCACTGTTTGCCCTGTTTGATAAATTTCAATGACTATCATTCCCATTTAACTATACACTGTCCCTATGAAAACAATACACTGACAAAAACACTTTAAAAATTCTCTTAATGACATGAAAAATAGGTCACACACAAATCATCACTACAGAATTATTTGGACCCATATTAATGAGAATATATATTATATACATAAGCAAAAGCAACAGATTATGACTAATCAAAGTACTTATGGTTAGGCAAAGTTACAATACAATAATCATACATGATACTATAAAAATTTGACAAAAATTCTATGTATTTCTATACAAACATGATACAAAAACAGATTTTACTACAGCACTAAAATACATGCAGAAAAAAAACAACTTATTCCACCACAATACCACAGAAATGCAAAACCAGATCACTGACATGCAGTTTCTAGTCTACTATTTACAACAAATTACAAGTGAAACATTCAGGCACAATGCATACCATCTTGATGGAATAAAGTTAATCAAGGCCTCAATTTGCCTTCAAGAATGGCAACATTATACTTGTCTCCAACTTTACTGCAGACCACAAATACAATTTATATTCCACTGGTTCATTTTCATTTACATTCTCCTACAAATGTAGCATTATGGAATAGAGACTACCCTGAAGAATCCTAATATTAACATCATTCTATTTCTAGTTTCATGTTTCCCATAGAAGTTTTTATATTTTATGCTTATGGACATCCTGATATGCTCTGTGGAGTTGTAATATTAACAATGTTACACTACATCACAACTGTGATGTATTAGCACCAATCAAAGAACTGTCACCAATAGGAGTAACAATTAAACACGACTTCTTTTTGTACAAATTTACAGGATAAGTTTTTTACAGTACACTTTACAATTGCAGTGATTGGTTTCTGTACATGGTGTGATTTTTACAATGCACTAGGATAACTGACCAGCATTAGATCCTATTGTGTTCAATGATATGCTATAAAAGGTACTTACAATGACTAACTCTAAAAGTTTGGGCCACTCTTTGAATTGGCATAACTATTTACAGAGAACCTGTCTACATTTTATGTAGATAGCACTTAAAAAAAATCTCAAGGGCCATATATCACCCACTGGGCACTTTCAAAAAAAATGTGTCATAATGGAATTTTTTTTCTTCATTGGAGCTATACACCCTGACTTATTTTTAGTAACATATGGCTAAATTAAAGAAATACTAATAAATTCTTCACTTTATGGCTGAGCCTTTGTCTCTTATTCAGCTGTCTAAATTACTTGCTGCAGTATTGTGAACTGCTAATAGTTCATAAGCAGTCTTTTTGTCTGTAAAAAGTTCATAGTGTTTCTAGACAAAAATTACTAACAGTCTGTGAAGGGTACAACCAGAGGAGAGAGACTGTGTTAAACATTTTTATATCTACTACTTAATTCTGCTGAGAAATTAAAAGTGGAGATTAAAATAATACTTTTTTCATACCTTCAAAGCAAGATCAAATTCCTAAAACAAACAAACAAAAAAAAATGAAGTAAAAATTTACATGAAAAATATACAGTATGTATCCAACTTTAGTACAAAACATACATTTCAGTGTGCAATATTACAGATGTATGCCACTGAAAAAAAAGGGCAAGAAAAAAAAATCAGTTTTTATATCCTTGAATGACGTGATACGCTGTATGATAGGATATTCTTCTACAAGATTCAAAACATTAAACAACCAAGTATTGCATAAATAAATTAATTAAACCTGAAACAGATAACAAATTCTGTTCATATTTGCAATAACAGAACAAAAAAACTCAAGTTTTTTACAAAGTGCACTGGTATTTCAAACATTTCCCTATGTTTGCACACATTGACCTGATTTTGCACGAATGAATTAGAACTTATCTGCAATCATTCTATGCTCAATTTTGAAAAATCTGTAAGTAAACAAACAGATAGCTAGATGATACAGAGCTGAAAAATAGTGATAAATTGTTTTAAATGTAAGAGCACTATCATATTCAATAAGAAAATAATTAGGGAAAAAATTATATGAGTCAATGGTCAAGGTCATAATGTGCTCATATTTTTAGGTATTTTTGACAATGCAAGACAGTACATATATGCCCCAGATCAATGCCTTATCTGTTGTCATTAACAATAACAAAAGCTTGAAATCTGGGAAACTTTTGTTATGAGAATTAGAGCCTTTTTTATTATGTAAAAGTATATTCTATTAATTTTTTTTTTCTAAGAGAATAAATCAAAGGTCAACATCAAGTATCAATGTCCTTAGTGACTTTTAAAAGGCTCTAAGAAAAGCATGTCTAATATCAAAACTCTGCCTCTCATGGTTCAAAAGATTTTTTTTAAATCAATGTCTTTTAAAAAAAATTACTTCTATGTCAAGGGATTTAGCCTCTGTTCTTTCATTAGTACCTGTTGCACCGGCTTCTATAGCCACAATCACAAGGGCAAAACTAACATACATGGTGAATAATGATTAAAATATTAAACCAAAATAATTGCTACATTTAGATCCTCTGATCAAGTTTATTTTTGTGTATAAAACAATTCACCTCTAACACCATTGCCTTTAGTTAGGCATTTTAATCCTCAGAAATCTTTTTAATAAAGGTTTTTTTTCTTCCATTTTTGTCTTTGTGGTCGATACCAGATTTTGCCGGATATCTAACAGTTGCTCTTTGATTCTCAAAGCTAGCGACAGCCTAAACACATTACTGCTCTCAGACAAATTTCTTTTAAAACTCTTAATTTCATACAATGTTGTTAAAAGTTTTTGAGAAATGGATATGAAAGATGTAAAAAAAAAAAAAAGTTTTACATTCTACAAATGGTCCTTTAAGCTTTTCATGACAAAATGACAATTGGGTCTGTTAGCAAGTATGGCTCAATAAGGCCATTCCAAGTTTTTTCTCTGTTTAGCGTCCACCCATCTTTCAAAAATCTACCTACCTATTCGCAAAAAACACACAAACCAAAAAAAAATAAAACAAGGACTTTATAGTCGTAAAAATTAAGTCATTCAAAAGATTTGATTTGATAAATCTATTTTCCTCGTTGAAAGATCTATTCTTCAGCAAATCGAGGTATTTAATGCTTAAAATATTTCTAATATGGCATATTGTAGACAAATATTTATAGAAATTGACAGAATTAAAAGATTTTGACCAGAATAACCGATTTCAGGACTCCTGATGCTGTTGGTTTTTTCTGATATTGGGTGTCAAAAACCAAGGCGCAAGCGGACACTAAACATAGAAAAAACTTCGAATGGCCTAATGTTGTCCACTCCTTCTGTTCTTTTTAAAAAGACTGAAAAACTGTGCACATTATACATATCATCAATGTAATAGTTTAAAACAGAAGTGTTTTGAATGTCTCATGTATTAGACACTACAAAGCCTTATTTTCAATCTTAAAGTGAATCTTCAAATGTTGCTTTGATTTTATCAGATTTTTTTAACATTGTGAAATGATTATTCTTCATCAAAAAATTTTTCTCACTCTTAGATCTATACTTTTTTTTTTTTCAAATATTTACAGGTCAATTTTTTTTTACTATTCAAGAAAAAAAGAAGAGGAAAAAATCTGAAGATGATTCCACCCTTTCTTTTCTCATTGCATCAAACCAGACTCATTAAATGCTTTAAATCAAAACTAAGTGTGCCTTGATAGAAAATACCAAGGAAATATGCAGCAACTCTTCTGTGTGCATCAGTATTTTTCACACTGCTTTAGTACAAAAAATATCTGAACCATTCTTAGCATCTAATACTCTTTTTCTATCAACTTTCTTACATTCAAAATTCAGCTTAAATAAATTTCTGGAGATATTCCAACATTGGTCATGCAGTTGACATTTCATGGTAGAGCCCCATTAGGAGGCATCCCTATTGGGCCCAGATCCGAGTTGTTTTTCATGAAGAACTTCTCCAATTTTGCAAGAATATGTTTGCCATATGTATACTTCCTAAGAGTTGCAATGTGGGGTCGGATTTTATGCATCAAAATGTTGCGTTGCTTTGGCTCTGCCACATCAATCATTTTCTGTACAACATAGTTTGCAAACTGGTCCTTCATCATGATGTAAAGTGCATTTTGTGGCCTGAAACAAAGACATGCTGACTTCACCTGATGTACAGAACAATATCACAATCAAATATTCTGAACATTTCAATGTTTCTCAAATGGTAAGCCAAGATAGTTTGCTTTTTATTCCCAAAACTATATGTAGATTACAATATTATGAACAGTCAATCTGATTAAAATCAGATCCTTTGATCCGCTCACATAGATCGCTATACAAGGATCTGAAGAAACCCCATTCAGAGTCATCTCCTGGTGACCTTTCTAATAAAATTTTAATTAAAATTTTGACCAATCAGAGAGATCGTACTTAAGCGACATTCGGGAAAATGAATGTAGAAGTGAAAGTAGCTGTGGAGAAGATCTTATCGTTTTGAACAAAACAAAGAGCTTAAAAACAGGGCAAAAGCAAGTACTAAATATATTTCTATCCAGAAAAGACTGTGGTCGTTCTTTTGACAGGCTACGGAAATCAGGTCACAATTTTCCGTTCGTCTATCATCGGGGCTTTCACTTCTGTAACTGAATTCCGAGATACTTCTAAATTCTTGCAAGCTAACGTCTGATTGGATAATTGAAAGGTCACCGGGAGATGACCCTGAATGGGGTTTCTTCAGATCCTTGAGTAGCGATCTATGTGAGCGGATCAAAGGATCTGATTTTAATCAGATTGATGAACAGTCTTTTCAATATCAAATAACTACATGTATTATGGAAGAGTTTATGAGCTATTTAAAAGAATGTAAGTACACATATTTCATATCTGATATTTACATTCCACAAATGCTTTCTTTACACAGGATATCACTATTTCTATAAAATTTGCAGCTGTGTGTGATACAGTAATATCAGAACCAGAAGTCTCTGATAGACTGTATTATAGGACATATCCTAATGATTTCTATTGCATACATCCTAACGTTCTCTAAACTTGTACGAAGAATGCTAGAATTTTTTATTCTTGCTTCTGCACAAATTGCAATAGTCCTTATAGTAAATAGTATTTTGTGAAAACATAAAAATGGCATAAATGAGCACTCAGAACATACCCATCAGTTAGAGAGCATACTTCCTCTATCAGCATGGCTTTCTCTGGTCTGGAGGAATACGAAACACATTTCTCCACAACATTACTACAAAACAAAAGGGAACTTGTTAAATCTCATGCTGAAGACGTATATCAATACATATGTGTTATGTACATGCAAATGTAGCTTAAGACACTGTTTGAACAGCTCTTCAAAATATACCTTGCAAATTTGTGTTGACTGAGAACAAGGACTTTGCCACGTAGTTCTGACACAATTTTACTCTTGTCATCATGGGATCCATGTTCCAACACGTGTTGCACAACATAGTTTCCGTACTGATCCTGCACCAGTCTCTCTATAGCCTGATGAAGTTCTTCTAGTATTGGAGTTGTCTGCTCCTTAGTGCAATGTTCCAAAATTCTCTGAATAACCCGACAACCGTAAGGGTGAGTAGATAATGTAAGAACCTGTAATACAACATAATTGTGAGTAAATACTCAGATAAATGAAATTATAAGTCTTCCCTTACATAAAAAGTTTACTAAACATCAAATGAAACCCATTACAGTGGTCATAAACATGTACATAAAACGCAAGGTTTTGACATGTAATTCACAATTGTAGTTCTCAAAATATTATACTTCATATCAAGTCTTCACTTGTCAAAATTGGAATCTATGCTGATTGCTAATGTTTGTAAATAAAATTGAGGAACTGAAGCTCATTATTACTAAGGAGATCATTCCTATTCACTTCTGTACATATAAAAAATGTGACCACCTATTGTAGCCCCCACTATACCTGTGTGGCTTTCCCTGCAAGAAAATTTTGTATGTTATCTCTCTCTTTCTTTTAAAAAACTAAATAAGTTTGTAAAAATGGTGAAGTAATTACTTACCTGACCTTTGAAAGCATCAATAATGAACTGTAAATGAATGGGATCAACACATTCTATGCATTTTTGCACTACATGGTTGCCGTTCTGATCCTTTACACACTTAATTACATGGCCATCAAGTTCTTTCACAATTTCCACTTGCAGATCTGTTGAAATTGTTTCTAAAGCCTTCTGAATAACACGACAGCCATACATCTGAAGGGCAAGCGGCAATACATGACCTCTCAGACGCTGAGCTAAGGTTTGCTTTTGCTCATTACTGCCAAATTCGAAAAACTTCTGGATGACATAGTTGCCAAACACATCCGTCATCAGACTGTAAGCATGTACTAGGATTTCATTGAAAACCATGTTCTTCTCCTGTGGGGAAGCCCGTTCCAACTTCTGCTGAATAAATCTGATGAAAAGATGTCATTAAGAGAAGTGTAATTGCAAGAATGTTCATGCAAGTCAACAGAATATTTACAAGTAGGTGAATAAATTTTTGAAAGAAAAGATAACCTATCAGGTCAGACCAATCATTCTTAAATATATTCTTCACATGCTGAGGACATAGCTTTTACAACTAAAATACCGACACTGACAAATGTCCTGTTCAGAGCAATTTGTCTTACATTTATGTCTTGTGATGATTCATGTAGTTTTTTCTTATGTAAAATAAGAGCAGATATGAATGAAGTGGTAGACCATTGGAAGTTGAGGACATTTTTGTTAACATGAAAAATGATGAAAGCAGCCAGGGCGGTAAGGTAGAATTGGTGAAGCCTTCGGTTGTGCAGATGTGATAGATCTTCCTGGACACTACTTTGGAAGATCAACTAAAAATGTCCTATTTGTGTAAAAATTTTGACTCAAAGCCTGGCTAGTGACATCTGTGAAACCCAAAGGTCATTGTACAGTGTAATTCAATGAATGCCTATACATGCAAGCCCCATATATCAGCACTATAAAAGAAAAATTTCCTACCTAGAACCATGCTGGTCTTGGGAGAATTCTACGACGTGGTTATTGAGGTCTTTCAGCTGTAGGTTGGGAATTCTGTTATTCCTAAAATCCTCCAGCATCCGACTTCTTCCAGTGGCTTCCTTTGACATGGAACTAGCAAAAAAAAAAAGGGGACTTATTCTTTAGGACTGTTTCAAACATAATTTTAAGATGGGTGGTCCGAATGAAGATAACATTTTATGGAAGTACTCTAAACTTGTCTAAACTTTGAAATCAATTCTCAATGCATCTTACCTCCTTGTAGCCATATTTCTGTTTGGAAAGAGAGAAGTACCAGAGAAAAACCCATTTGATCCCATGGGGCTATTTCTAAATTTAGCCTCTGCTCCTGGAGCAGCACTGTACATTCTGTTCCCTCCTGACATTCCAGCTGCAAATACATGTACATATAAAAAGATACATGGCAGGAGCTTCATTAATAGTGAATGTTTAATTAAGGTTTGATTTTTTGGGGATGCACTGCTTTCTTAATGCTTGTCTCCAGGTGTGATACATTTGCATTAAAATATCAGTTTGAAAGAAATCAAGGTTGGCTTCTGAATCCTGTTAAAAACTGATGGGTCCTGATAATAGATAGACGACAGGAAGGACAAGTGAAATGTTTCATGCCTGGGAATTTTCCAGGGGGTGGGGTGGAGGGGGGTGTTGCATAAAAATGCAGTGAATATCCATATGGGTAGTGAAAACATGCATTTTTTAGAATATATACATACATGTATATTTCTGTTGTTTAAAGGATTACTAGTAGTCATTCACTGTATACACTTCAAACAGACAATCAAACAGAAGTGTTTTAACTCTAATCTCTCACCTACTGACAAATTAGAGGAGGATCCAGAAAGGGAGGGTGGTGGAGTCATACTCTGTCCTGGTTGCACCAGTCCCATAGGGCCAGCAGGAGAGGCGGACATGTTTCCCATAGAGCCATAAAACTGATTCAAAGGTGGTAAATGCTGTCGTGTTTTGTAATCTAAAGAATCCCGTCTTTGACCTAAACAAACAAGTACATAGTTACATGTATGCATATTGCATCTAGAAAATTACTACTTCAAAGAACACCTACATGTATGGGGCTGTTCACAATAATAAACTCTCATATCCACTTTTCAAAATGAAGGTCAATTACATTAGAAAGTGAGTAAGCATTATATTGCACATGCACACATTTCATAAAATTTTTTAAACAGAAGTGGAGAATAGATATGATTAGTATTACTGCATTGCACATGCTTTTGATACAGGATAAACAAACAGAAGCTGAATGAACTTTTGAACAGAAAAGTTCATTTAAAGTAATATGCTAAGAGGAAGTTATATTCTGTTTCCTACCCATATTGTTAAGACTGGAGTTGCTGTTACTGGAGAAGTTAACAGGAGGAGTTGTCTGTAACTGCTGTGACTGGGTAGTCAGAAGACGAAGAGGATTGTTTGCCCCACCTGTTTGAAATGAATTTGCTGTTAATCAAGATTTTCTTACTTATTCAAGTTTTGAGAGATCTTAATTTCCATGCATTAATTATATACTGATAACTTGTACTACAAAACATTGAATCAAGTAAGAAATTGGACGTTTATTTAGTATTTTATTTTGCAAAATTTGTCATTCACTATCATTAGTTGAATCCAGTATTAAGAAAGGAGGTGAAAAAGAGATAAAGATGTGTGATGAGACCTTGCTGACTTGCTGCCGCAGTCGCTGCACTGACTAGTACTGGGGCAGGGGAGACAAGTCGTACAGGAGTACTCAGACCTCGTGGATTCATTATCAGCTGTCCATTTTGGTCATAATACGCTGGAGCTAAAATCTGATACTGTGGATCTGTAAGATACAATATTTAATAACCTTTTATATTTGCAAAATTTGTCATATACATGTATATACATATTGTATAATTAAATGCATAATAATTTGATAATCTGGCTTGCAGCTTTTAAACATATATCCCCAGAAATATTGACTTTTTAAAAATTAAGAACCTTTCCTCTCTTCATCAGAGTGGCTTTTTCTTGTTCTTGGGTCACGATATGAACAATCAAAAATATACAAGCAGGAAACAAGAGTCACTAGACACAAGTTGTTGAAGCAGCCTACTCTCGCTGTTGGGTTCTTTTGTCAAATGTTCATAACCATTCAAGCAACATGTATCAATAGGGACATTAGGGGTGCAACGATACACCAACCTCATGATACGATACACATCACAGTATTCAGTTCACGATACGATACATATCACAGTATTCAGTTCATGATACGATACGTATCACAATACATGACAGGGTAAAGAAGTCTTTCAAGTTTGTCATCATATTTTTTAAAACTCGACAGGGTTATATCAAATGTTCATATTTTTTGATGATTAAAATATCAATTTGTTAACTTTATTTGGATTGAAAGGTAGATCTTTGAGTTGTAACAATATTCTAAACCATGAAGAACATTTACACTGAACTACGGTAGCCTGGATTCAAAGTTCAGATATGACTTATTTATAGAAGGAGCCTTTCCTAACAATCTTCCTTTTCAATTAGAATGAAAAAGGAAGACATTCATTGTTTTATTCCTTTTATTTACGTAGAAAAAACAAGTTGTCATATTTCTCGTGTTATCACGTTCTAGTCCACACGTTGGAAATACACGCGTGATGAGATACTGTGTTTTACCATAGAATACTTTTAGATCTAGAGTTTATCACTTGTCTTAACTTTTAAACACATTAGGAATAAGATAAAGTCCTTCACCGTGTTAAATCTGAGGTCTGTAAGATGTTGGAGATGAGTTTAATTGCCATTACTGCATTACTGTCGACCTCATGTTTTGAGTGGAAGCCATTTTGAAATTGTAAACAAGGAAACTAAACGGACAATTTGGATAATTCTGGACCGATTGAACTGAACCGTGATATCAGTTTAGCGTATCATGAATTGAACCGTGGAAAAATATTACCGTCACACAGTTTATCGTTGCACTCTAATGTATCAGACAAACAAAGACGTGGAAAGGTCACCTGTGCCACTCTAGACTTAATAAGGCTCACTCAGATTACTACCATAAATATCTTACTTGAAGGGGTTCCCATCTGCTGATTTAAATTTGGCTGCTGAGATGGCATATTGGCTTCATTTTGATTTGGTGTCAATCGCCCATTTTGTCCCCTCATTAAGTGTTGCTGCTGTTGCTGCTGCTGCTGTGCCTGTGAAGTTGGCTGTGGAGTTGTCTGCCCTTGCTGCTGGATCAAGTTTGCTGGATAGATGCCCCAAGGAGCCTGAACACCATAGTACTGAGGATGAATTACTGCTGGTCCTAAAAAATATCAACAACATTTACGTCAATCACATAAAGATTATACTGCAAATATTACATTTGGAAATTATCATTATATAATGGACAAGATGCCCTTGGGTCACAATGCTCATCTGAGTTACATTTCTCCCCTGGTCAAATGAATATGTAGATCAATAATGAGTCATCATTCTGGACCTTCACTGTGATTCTGGGGGCCAAGATTTAACTCAAATAATTCTATTAATTAGAAAGAGGGATAAAGGCCATAGGAAGGGCTGTAAAAGTGGTTTAATTATAGTTGACTGTACATAATGCTACATTTTAAATTTCACTCATGTAGCCTTGCTGTTGCAGAGTATATATGAAGATTTTCTCTATATATTTATATGTATTTAAGACTGAATCCCTATTATGGCCCCATCCTGACCCAAATGACCAATACCAAATTGAATCTACAATATGTAAGGAATAAAGGAATACATAACTTAAGGAAAAATAGTACCAAGCTTTTTTTCTCCCCCCCCCCCCCTTGTAGATTTACAAAAGATTATCAAATACTGACAACTTATTTATTATCATCCCTTCATTGATACAACCCTTCATTCAACAAACCTACTGACATCCGATCGGTTTTTGCAAACAAAGGTCTTTGACTTTAGGAAGAGTTGAAACATACAAAACAAAACTAGTGGGTACTGTTTTTTTTTTTACAAAAAAACACACGTCTCCCCTTCTTTACCAACATTAATGAGTGCAAATATATGATCAGGGTCAAAAATAATAATGCAGTGCATCTCAACTCAAATTCTGTGTACAAAATTTCAAGTCTTCATGTCAAACACATCTCAAGTAATGGTCTGGTCGTGTTTTTCTTAGTTTGACCTTGAAGAAAGTGGTCAAGGTCAAATATTTTGATGCAGTACATTTAGTCTCAATGTTGTCTTTCCTTGTTCCAAGTTTGAAATCCTAATGTCAAAAAGTTCTCAAGTTATGACCTAGACTATATTTTCATGTAAATGATTGACCTTGACTTTATTAAAAGGTCAAGGTGAAAAAATGTTGCCATTCACCCTTCCTCTATACCACCTCTCCATGTTCCAAGTTTGAAGTCTTAATGTCAGGGTTCTCAAGTTCTGGTCCAGTCATGTTTTCTCTATTTAACCTTGAAGAAAGGGGTCAAGGTCAAAATTTTGAAGCGTTGCATTTTGTAACAATGTCTTCTTTCTATGTTACAAGTTTGAAGTCCTAATATCAAGCTAAGGCCTGGACTCTATTTTGATGTAAAAGATTGACCTTGACATTATAATAATTGGATCAAGGTCACAAATTTTGGTGGCATGCATCCTTCCTTCATACCACTTCTGCATGTTCCATGTCTGAAGTCTTTATAACAAAGGATTCTTAAGTAATGGTCTAATCAAGTTTTTTCCCTATTTGACCTTGAGGATGAAAAGGGGTCAAGGTCAAAAATTTGGTGTGTTGCATCTTGTATCAATGTCTTCTTTCTATGTTACAAGTTTGAAGTCCTAATATCAAAGGGTACTCAAGCTATGGCTTGGACTCTATTTTGATGTAAAAGATTGACCTTGACCTTATAATAATTGAATCAAGGTCAAAAATTTTGGTGGCCTGCATCCCTCCTTTATACCACCTCTACATGTTCCAAGTTTGAAGTCTTAATGTCAAAAGGTTCTCATAGTTATGGTCAGATCGTGTTTTTTCCCTATTTGACCTTGAAGGCAGAAAGGGGTCAAGGTCAAAATTCTAATGCAGTGCATTTTGTCTCAAGGTCTTCTTCCTATGTAATAAGTTTGAAGTCCTAATATCAAAGGGATCTCAAGTTATGGGCTAAACTCTATTTTGATGTAAAAGATTGACCTTGACCTTATAAATAGGTCAAGGTCAAAAATGTTGGTGGCGTGCACTCCTTCTCAATGTCATCTATCTATGTTCCAAGTTTGAAGTCTTAATGTCAAAGGGTATTAAAGTTACGGCCTGGACAAAATTTGGATGAAGAAGAAGAAGAAGAAAATCGACAAAAACAATATGTCTCCCCCGGAAGGGGAGACATAAATATGTGCCAGCCATACATGTAGGCCTTTCAACTGCCGCTAGGGTTCGATGTTAAGAACGATAACTCATTACCGGAACTTGTTTAGAGCAGTTTCGAGGATCGAAGTATTTTTAAGCAAGTCAGTTTTTAGCGTTTTCCAAGTCTTTCTTTGCTGTCAGTAGAATCCAGTGGTTTTAAAATTTAGCACAAATGTGAAACTTATTTACCATGTAGTTACGGACACTGTTTAATTACATATAAGTAAAATTTTAAATTAAAATATAAAGTGAAATCTACCCCCCTTCCAAATTTTAACCTGAGTAAATTTTTATACTTGGTCGTTCTTCTTCGTGCTTAGTAACACAAGTAAGATAATTAATTGTTACATTTACTTGTAGAAATATATATATTTATATAGGAAGCACAAAAATGCACACACAAAAAACATGACATTATATTTTTTTTTCATAACAATTGACAAAGAGAGTTAAAAATCTTGAATATAGTCCGTTCCCCATTCATTTGATCCCGTTATTTCAGGTAAAGTGAAGACATTCTCCTTCTTTTGGTCAACACTTTTGTGTACAAAACAATGTAAGGAACCCTTTTGTGTAAATAACAATACCAACTGAAGCAGCCTATATGTCATTCCTATAAACGATAACTCATAAATCGGCACTTAGTTGGTCAATTTCTACACTTGAGTTACCTGTCCTTAAAACACAACATCGTACAAGTCAATTATTAATAAATAAACTTTTTAATGATTTAATTTAATGTATGCATAAGTAATTATCTTTTTTGATAATTTCTTGTACCTATAAATCTATCTATGAAATGTTTTTTACCATATACGCAACTTGAAAAATTAGTTGAAAGGCCTAACACATGTATATACAGCTGTACTTTTATGCAAAGAGTACATAATGTTTTCACTTAATTTCCCCAAATAATCATTTTACATTCCATTATTTCTGATCAATATGATGAAATAGACTAAAATAAGAATCTAAAAAAGCTGGGGCCATGAGCCACAGTGCTCACCCAAGTCATCACATAACACAGCCTCTGATGGGATGGACTTGCATCATCAAACAAATAGGAAGTTTTTTAATTGATCCAACCCTATTTTTATCACATATTATATATGGAGGTCAGTCCTTTACCTTAACTGAATGTTATATTTCAAAGTTTGTTAAAAATTTGCTGGAGAAGGATTCCAAGTATGACTAGAGGCTAACAGGCCTTGACAGTATTTCGAGTATTACTTTCTCAGGCTATGACTATATTATTTTTATGCGAAAATTAAGCAGAGATTTCTGTTAATGCCACTTAACGGAAACACTGCATGTGTAAAATGTATTTTCAATACATGGCCCCACCATGAACTGTGGGCCTGGGGGACATAAATTTAAAAAATTTAGATGGAGAGCTTAGTTAATTATAATCATGCAAACAGTTTGTCCACTAGACGTCTTCAAGTAAAGTAGAAGATTTTCAAAGATGTATTTTTTAATATACAACCATGATTAACTTGGGCCTGCAGGCTGGACACAGGAACCATGCACTTTATATTTTTGGTAAACAAGTACTCACTGTAATTGTGCAAATACTGTCCATGAATAAAGAAAAATTTCAATATATGAACAACTTTGCGCCACCATTGGGCCATGAATTTGATCACTTTGGTAGAGTGCTAAGTGATTATTAAAATCAAGAAAACAGTTTGCCTGTTTAATGCCCATAAGTTTGGAGGAGATTTTGAAATATCTGATGAATTATATGATCAATTAAGCAAATGCTTGAACCATGGGACCCAGGGGCCATGAATTTCAAGATTTTGGTAGAAGGTTACATACTCACTATAATCATGCATACAATTTACCTACTTTTGTTTAAAAGATTTTTAAATATGTAATCAGTTTTCAAGATATGACCAACTTAGCCCCACTAAGAGCCTAAACCTTTACACGTGGTCACAAATTTCATTTTTGGTAAAGGGCTCAGTGCTTACTATAAATATGTGAACAGTTTGTCTGCTAGATATCCAAGATTAAAGAGGATTTCTAAAGATTGCATTAATTTTGATGGCTTTGGCCCCACTTTTCAGGCCCCATGGAACTAAAAACCATGAAATTCACAATTTTTCTTTCCCTTTGCTCATAGATGCTTTATACCAAGATTGGTTGAAATTTGTTCAGTTATTTCCCAGTTAGAAGCAGAAAATTTTCAATATCTAATGGGCAACAAACAGAGTACTGCACAACAACAGATAGCAACAGCTCACCTGAAAGACTCAGGTGACCTAAAAAGTTTATGGACAGATCGAAGACGGACAACAGACTATTTATCAGAAAAGCTTATTTGGGAAGAGTTGGACAAAACAACAAACACAACAGACAAGAGTAATACCACCTAGGGGTGCAACGATACACCAATCTCATGATACGATACATATCATGGTATTCAGTTCACAATATGATATGTATCATGATACATGACAAGGTTAAGAAGTCTTTCAAGTTTGTCATCATATTTTTTAAAACTTGACAGGGTTATATCAAATGTACATATTTTTTTTTTACAATAATTAAAATATTTTGTTAACTTGAATTGGATTGATAGGTAGATCTTTGAGTTGTGACAATATTCTAAACCAATGACAAACATTTACAGGGAACTACAGGAACCTTTCCTAATAATCTTCCTTTTAAATTGGAATGAAAAAGGAAGACATTCATTTTTTTTATTCCTTTTATTTACGTAGAAAACCAGTTGTCATTTATCGTGTTAACAAGTTTTAGTCAACAAGACAGTGAATTTTCATCGAAATACACGCATGATGAGATATCGTGTATTACAATAGAATATGTTAAGATCTAAAGGGTTTATCTCTTGTCTTAACATCTACAACTTTCAATCACATTAGGAATGAGATAAATTCCTTCACCATGTTAAATCTGAGGTCTGTAAGATGCTGGAAATGAGTTTAACTGCCGTTAAGGCGTTATTGTCGACCTCATGTTTTGCGTGGAAGCCATTTTGAAATTGTAAACAAGGAAACAAAACAGAAGATTCGGATAATTCTGGACCGATTGAACTGAACCGTGATATCAGTTTAGCGTATCGTGAATTGAACCATGGAAATATATATCGCGATATACCGTCAAACAGTTTATCGTTGCACTCTTAATACCACCTAATGTATAACTTTTGGTTCCTTAGAGATGTCACATTGCATTTTAAAAAAAATTTAATTTATAAGACCAAGAAATTCATCAATAATATCCCAGGTATAAAAACTAAAATAAAAGAAATAAATTGAATGATAAAGAATTGCTTGGAAGTATCTATCTGTACGACTGTCTTGACGATAATTTTCTTTATTTAGCTGTTTTCTGCAAGAATTCTTGTTTCACCATTGCTAATACCAGGACATACACGTAATATGTAACACAAATACAAACACTACTGTAAGTTTACTTTTTCAGTGCACAAAGTATATTTTTAGTGAACAAAATATCTAACAAGAGGCCCAAGGGCCTTAACGGTCACCTGAGTATAAAACAACAATCCATAGAAGATCCATAAAGTATAAAATAAACTGATAGAAGGAGCTTTTGTAAATCTTTGATCGTCCATTGTGGCCCCACCCTATCCCCAGAGTCCAGAGTCATGATTTGAACTTGAATCTATACTACCTGAGGATGTATCCATGTAAATATAACCAATCATGGCTTTGCTGTTCTTGAGAAAAGAATTTTTTCAAGATTTTTCCTACATATTCCAATATAAAACTTTCATTGTCCATTGTGGCCCACCCCACCCCTGGGGATCATGATTTTAACAAACTTGAATCTACACTACGGAAGATGTTTCCACATTTCATCTTTCTTGGCCCAGTGGTTCTGGAGAAGATTTTTCCAATGTATTCCCATGTAAAACTTTGATCATCCATTGTGGACCTACTCCCAGGGGTCATGATTTGAACAAACTTGAATCTACACTACCTGAGGATGTTTCCAGATAAGTTTCATTTTTCTGGGCCCAGTGGTTCTGGAGAAGAAAATTTGTAAAGATTTTTTCTATGCATTTCTATGTAAAACTTTGATCATATCAAAATGACTAATCATGGCTTTGCAGTTCTTGAGAAGAAATTTTCCTATAAATTCCTATGTAAGACTTTGATCCTCCATTGTGGCCCTGCCCTACCCCCCGGGGGTCAGGATTTGAACAAACTTGAATCTACACTACCTGAGGATGCTTCCATATAAATATGACCAATCATGGCTTTGCTGTTCCTGAGAAGAAGATTTTTAAAGATTTTTCCTATATATTTCTATGTATAACTTTGATCGTCCATTCTGGCCCCACCCTACCCCCGGGGGTCATGATTTGAACAAACTTGAATCTACACTACCTGATGATGCTTCCATATAAATATGACTCATCACGACTTTGCTGTTCTTGAGAAGAAGATTTTTAAAGATTTTTTCTATATATTTCTATGTAAACTTTGATCATCCAATGTGGCCCTGCCCTACCCCCGGGGGTCAGGATTTGAACAAACTTGAATCTACACTATCTGAGGATGCTTCCATATAAATATGACCTATCATGGCTTTGCTGTTCCTGAGAAGAAGATTTTTAAAGATTTTTCCTATATATTTCTATGTATAACTTTGATCGTCCATTGTGGCCCCGCCCTACCCCCCGGGGTTATGATTTGAACAAACTTGAATCTACATTACCTGAGGATGCTTCCATATAAATATGACCAATCAGGGCTTACCCACAGTAGTTGTTCCTGAGAAGAAGATTTTTAAAGATTTTTCCTATATATCTCTATGTAAAACTTTGATCGTCCATTGTGGCCCCACCCTACCCCTGGGGGTCATGATTTTAACAAAATTGAGTCTACACTACCTGATGATGTTTCCATATAAGTTTCATCTTACCTGGTCCAGTGGTTCTTGAAAAGAACATTTTTAAAAGATACCATTAATTTTTCACTAATTCTTAATTATCTCCCCTTGGAAGAAGGTGTGGCCCTTCATTTGAACAAACTTGAATCATCTTTACCCAAGGATAGTTTGTGGCAAGTTTGGTGGAAATTGGCCCAGTGGTTCTTGAGAAGAAGTCAAAAATGTGAAAAGTTTATGCATGACGCACACCCGCACGCCGACGGACGAAAACAGATAGCAATAGGTCACCTGAGTGACTCAGGTGACCTAAAAAAGGAGGGGTTGCACACTATATACAAGTATAGGCATAATACCCCATCGAATATTCGTCATGTATCAGTAATGGAGTACACTCAAATCTATCATAACTTTCATCATCTATACTCTTGGATACTTCTAACTTTATATCAATTTAGTCAATTCAGAAAGATTAAGAGCTATTATAATTTGAAATAAAAAAGAAATATTAATATAGGCAACAAGCTAAGGGTATGCAATTGAAAAATGATAATCAGCTTTTGTAAATAATCCTTTGATGAATTACATTTTGTCACCAGAGGACAGACAAATCTGGTGCTGGACCAGTAATTTTACATGGCTACTGGTCATGTGGACTGATGAGTTAAAATGCTAAGCTGCGAACACTGGTGACACCACCACATTTCTAGAGATATCTTCCAAAGATAGTGAAATGGTCACATCTCTTTATTTGAATGAAATTAGCTGTTCATTCAAAATTAATTTGGACCATTTTTAAATGCTGCATGAAGATGGTGGCTAATGAATAACTTTTAAATGTTGTATGTGTAAAGTTGCAGACGGCAGATGGTTGCTACTGAATAACTTTGATCAGAAAAGCTCGCTTGAGCCAGAGCAAAATGTTTCCCTTGCCAAATTTGAAAAAGTTTGTTTGGCAACAAGCCTGATGCTGACCTGCTATAGGAATGCCCACAGCATAAGGATCCTGGCTGATAACATAAGGGGCCGGCGTAATGGCCGCCGCAGTCATCCCTAAATACATAAAATCACTTAAGCCATGCAAATAATGACCACAATATCAGGATAATAATATAAATCCTGATCAAAGTCAGGAGGAGAAATATAGATAAATGTGCACATTACAAAAGTTGATTTCATTTATTTAAAAAAAAGAAAGGCACCCAAAACTATGTAATTATCTTCATCAAACTGCTGAAGCCTGATTTTGTGAAGAAGGGAAAAAAAGCATTGCTTCCATAGTCTCTAATTGATTTTTTTTTTATTAGATGTCTTTAAAAGCTTTCTATAAATTCTACTGGTTTGAAAACATCCAATCATGCAGTATGAAAGAAATTTTAAAGGATCACTGGTTCCATCTCTATTTTTAAACACTTTATAAAGAAAGCATTCTTTCAAATTTAAGATTTCATGAAGTAGCAAAGAGCAATTATTTTTTGTTTGTTTGGGGTTTTTTTTCTTTAAAAAATAAAAAAAAAACAAAAAAAAAACCAAGATGTGTTTGTGAAACACTGATACTCCCGTACGGCAGCTTATGGCAAAGGTTAAAGTTTCTCAAATGCAAGTCAAAATCCAGCCCAAAAGATAAAATGTTGGTACCCAAAGAAAGGTCTTGTCTCGAGGAACATACCTGTGAAATTTGAAAGCCCTAGCTCCAACTGTTCAAAAGTTATGGCGAAGGTTAAAATTTTTTAAAAGTAAACGTCAAGGTCAAAGTTGTTGGTATCCGAAGGAAGGGGGTGTTGTCACAAGTATTACATATGTGAAGTATGAAAGCCCTAGCACCAACTGTTCAAAAGTTATGGCCAAGGTTAAAGTTTTACGAAAGTAGGTCAAACTCCAAGGTCAAGGTCAAAGGTCAAAGTGGTTGGTATCCAAAGGAAGGTCTTGTCACAAGGATTACATATGTAAAGTATAAAAGCCCTAGCACCAACCGTTCAAAAGTTATGGCCAAGGTTAAAGTTTTTCAAAAGTAGGTCAAACTCCAAGGTCAAGGTCAAAGAATCAAAGTGGTTGGTATCCAAAGGAAGGTCTTGTCACTAGGAATACACATGTGAAGTTTGAAATCTCAAGCACCAACTGTTCAAAAGTTATGGCCAATGTTAAAGTCTCATAAAATTTTGCAAAAGTGGGTCAAACTCCAAGGTCAAAAGGTCAAATATGATGGTACCCAAAGAAAGGCCTTGTCACAAAAAATACACGTCAAATATGAAAGTCATAGCTCTAACCAATCAAAAGTTATGGGCAAGGTTAAAGTTTTTGCAGACAAACAAACAGACAGACGGACAGACAGGGTAAAAACTATATACCCCTGAATCTTCGATACGGGGGCATAAAAACTATTAAAACATGATATTCTATGAAAGTAATTATGAATTCACAAAATTCATCATTTAATAAAGCCTAGAAAAAAATGTTTGTTTCTGGTTTCCAGACAGACCCTAATTTAGATCACCGACCCTAAATTTTTAAAAAATCCTTATTTTCAGTTTACTCTGATGCATAAAAATTTCTTTAAGTCACAGAATTGTCCTAAATAGTATTTCTTTTGTCATTTGTGCTGCTTAGATATTCTGTTTCAAGAAGTCCATCAAATGGAAAGAAACTTCACACATCAACAAAATAAATGTTTTTGCACTTAAAAATGTTTTGATCATAAATCTTGTAAAAATAATATCATGAAGAATATTGTCTACATATTTTTTGAATGACCCTCATATAAAATAGTTCTTATAAAACCTCTCTTGCACACAATTTGTGCAATAGAAAATCACCAGTGATCCCTTGTAAGGCAAAAGTATAAGAAACAAGACTTTCACATTTCAAACGAAAAAAAAGACTATATAAAAGCAATGCTACACAAAATAAAGCTTTAATAAATGTATTTAAAATAAACTCTGGACTTGACTCTAGCTGATGGTGGCATAGTACAAAACAGACAACATAATCATTATGACCCCCTCCGTTTCCTCAAATCAATGTATAAACGGCCCACAGGCCAACAAAAACTCTGGCTTTAAGCATTTATCTGCACAATATTCATATATTTAATATAAATTCTAATTGTTAGGGCTGGTAAATCACACCATGCATCCCTGTCTGAGTTCTTTGTCATTTTTGACAAGCTAACTGGTACTTCCAGTACAAATAATTTCTTTGAGACTTAATTTCAAAGCAGAACCAACACATGCATGTTATTTACCAGGAAAGGCCACAGGCACTTGGGGTATGGACCCCCCCCCCCCCACTTTTTTTCCATTTTTTTTTTCTTTTTAAATCTGGGGTAGAGTCACCTTTTTCCTGTTTTTGTATTTTAATATGCACTATATGTTATCAATAATGTAACTCTTTTCTCTCTATAAGCTGTTTTTAAATATATCGTTTTCGACTGATACATAAAAAGAGAGAAGGCTTGCAACTCTTTTCTCGTCATCTGCCTCACCTCGCTTAAACTTCGCCTGATTATTTATCTAAAGCACACGAACACATGGACCATGCATACGTCAATAAATTTGTTGCACATTCGTCTTCCTTTTCATATTTCCATTTAATTTTTATATGCCCCCGATTTGTAAATATTTCGATTAAATCACCTGCATTTAGGGTAAATTTTGTTGATGTGCACCAGCTGGGATGGAAAAACATCATAAATTCTAAAAGCTGGTTTAGATGGCATCATAGTGTAATTTAGTGATAGAAATATGCCAAAAGCAGAAGGGTAGGCAGGTCTGTAATTGTCATTACTTTGATGGGTCCTTTTATATGGGTTGAACTTTACCTCATGCATCATTTCAAAACTGTCTTCAGTCTAAATATATATATGGTGCATACATATGCCAGACAAAATTTCATCAGAAGAGGTACATGTGTAAATAAAAGTAAAGTTCATGTAAATTTCTTTCCACTGTGTTATTGCTGAAGAATGACTACTTTCCTCATGTATTTGTAGCATTGTATTTGATATAGAAATTCTCATTGATGATAGCATATCCCTATAGTTAAACATACTTGCAAATATGAGTTGGCTCGCAATGCCATTTTAAGCTTGGTGAGTTGTGGAAATTCCATTGAAAAACACACATTGACAATACATTAGACAAAAGTGTGTTTGCATGTTTACAACTGTATCTTTTAATTGCAGACTAATTAATGAATCTATTTCTAAAATAAGCTAGGTCAAGGCCAGAGTCTAAAAATTCAAAAATTTGTCTTTGTAGGTCAAACAACAGCCATTTTCAATTCAGATTATTCAGCAGAATACATTTCTTCCCCACTATAAAGAATAAAGTTATCAATTCTTTAAATAGCTATACACAACAATTTACCATTAATGCAAAATACAATCCACAGTATCACAATAGGACTACAAAACATGTACATACCACAAAAATGAAAATAGTGATAAAATTTGAAAGAGCTGTGATCATAACGAAAACCTACCCATCTGTTGTTGTTGTTGTGAGGCGAGGAACTGCTGTTGAGTCAACACGGCAATGGGCTGTTGTCTCTGTAATAACTGGAAATGTAAAGATCTAAAAGAGCCAGTCCAGCCAAAAAAATTAATTCTCTGCTTTTCAGCCACTTCTAAATCAAATTTAAGCATTCTTCAAAGCTTATGTTTTTTTCAATCAAATTATGATCATTATGCAGCCATGGGCATAAACAATTCTGCAGGGAAAAAGTACCCAAAGGATAAAAAATATCTTGTCTTATTCCAGCCCCTTCCTAATTTGACTACTTGAGATCCTTTTGTGTCTGAGGAGATTTATATATTGTTCTACATGTACATATTACTATGTGGAACTTCAAACCCTTATTGTGACCCTTCCTGAACCAAGCAGGTCAAAGTTTAACTAAACTTGACTGTACATATACTACAGTCTAAAGCCATGCTTTATTTTTCTCAGATTCTGCATTTAAAAAAAAAAACCAAGAGGCCCATGAACCACAATGCTCACCTGAGTCACTTTGGCCCTGCTGGTTTTCATCAGATTTTTCCTCTTGTAATACTTTGATTCCCTATTGGGACCCCATCCTACCCGGAGAGGCAATGATTTGAACAATTTAGATTCTACACTATTTCAGGAAGCTTCCACATAAGTCTCAGCTTTACTAGCCCAGTGGTTCTTGAGAAGAAGATTTTTAAAGATTTTTCCTATATATTTCAATATAAAAATTTTGATCCCCTATTGTGACCCCATCCTAACCCCGGGGGCATGATTGAACAATTTAGAATCTACACTACCTCGGGAAGTTTTCACGTAAGTTTCAGTTTTACTGGCCCAGTTGGTTACTGAGAAGAAGATTTTTCTAATGACCCCACCCTATTTTTGTTTTTTCTTGATTATCTCCCCTTAGGAGGTTTGGCCCTTCCTTTTAACAATTTAAACTGTCCTCCTCCCAAAGATGCTTTGTACCAACTTTGGTAAAAATTGGCCCAGTGGTTCTTGAGAAGTTGAAAATGTGAAAAGTTTACACACAGACGGACGGACAGATGGACGACAGACAATGGGTGATCAGAAAATCTTACTTGAGCTTTCAGCTCAGGTGAGCTAAAAACATGTAGAGCATAGACTAAGTTTCTCCTTCCTTCTTCAGTAAGGATATACATGCTTGTTAGAGATATTTTTCTTGTTTTATTAGGAATTTTCCTCTGCCACTACAGTTCATGTACAATACACAATTACTACATGTATACATAATTATCAAATAATCTGTAGAATGCTTATCCTTCTGTAAGATTGAATATTTGATGATTTTTTGTTATATTCCAAGAAGTTTATTTCCATTTGCAATACTTTTTTTAGATGACCTACATGTACTAAGAAGAAGAATGTTCTTTCACCGGGTCAAGAGGTCATGACATGATGTTGCTAGGTCACAAAGTTATTGGTGTAATATTTCAATTTGATTCTTTGCCTCAAATGTAGATATAAGTACTAAATAACGATGTTAGTAAAAGTTCACTGGGAAATGAACTTGGTTGGTAAATGACAAAAACCAATGGCAAGCCCTTCAGTCTTCATAGGATTTGTTCATAAGGCCAACCAAGATCGTTCTCAGTGAACTTTTTAACATTATTTATTACTTGAAAGGAAAACTATGCAAGAAGAGGTAACAATCTAGTATCTCAATACATTTGTGTATTATTGACTTACTTGATTGTAATCCATGTTGAAATTTGGACTGTCCATTGAGGAAGGCATTCCCATCTGGTTACTGTAGTCAAACTGTACGGGATCAATTCCCACAGGTTCAACAAAAGGTGCAGGATCAAGCTGGAACCCTGGCTGTGGGAAGTGGGGCTGCTGATTGTGGTCTAAATATTCCCCACCATCTGGCTTCACAGTCAATTTTGGCATGTCCATTCCAGGTATGGGATTATCAGCATTGGGCGAGTTCTGGTGACTGTTTCTTCTGTTACTACAAAAAATAAGTTTCAAATTTTTCCCGAACAAAAATTCTAATCAAAGAGCATACCAACCATGCACGAGTGGTAGTTCTCTTCCTTACAATTTTCTTTTTAACAAGAGGCCCATGGGCCTTGAATCGATCTTCTGATGAACTGTACAACCTATCACTTCTATTTGAAGCCTCAAAGTATCCTGTATATTTACATAAACCCTTGAAATTCCAATTCACACTCTGAGAACCCAAGATGATTCTAAGCCAATTAGTACCTGAGAGTTGGTCATGGTGACCTACTTATCACTTGTCATTCTCTGAGGACCCATCAACTAAGTTTGATGATTCTAAGCCAATTAATACCTAAAATATTTTTTAAAATTATAATCATAAAATTTTATAAGTAGGTCAAAGTGACCTACTTTTCAATTGTTTTACTCCAAGGACCCAAGATGCATCAACTGACAAAGTTTGATGATTCTAAGCCAATTAGTACCTGTAATATTTAATTAAAGCCATAAATTTTCAAAAGTAGGTCACCATGACCTACTTTTCAGTTGCTGTACTCCGAGGACCAAAGATACATCGACTGACAAAGTTTGATGATTCTAGCCAATAAGTACCCAAAATATTTAATTACAGCCATAAATTTTCAAAAGTAGGTCACAGTGACCTACTTTTCAGTCAACCTACTCCGAGGACCAAAGATGCATCAACTGACAAATTTTGACGATTCTAAGCCAAATAATTCCTGAAAATATTAAATACAGCCATAAAATTTCAAAAGTAGGTCACCGTGACCTACTTTTCAGTTGTTGTACTCTGAGGACCCAAGACGCATCAACTGACAAAGTTTAATGATTCTAAGCCAATTAGTACCCGAAATATTTGATTAAAGCCATAAATTTTCAAAAGTAGGTCACCGTGACCTACTTTTCAGTTGTTGTACTCCGAGGACCCATGACGCATAAACTGACAAAGTTTTATGATTCTAAGCCATTTAGTACCCGAGATATTTTATTAAAGCCATAAATTTTCAGAAAGTAGGTCACCGTGACCTACTTTTTAGTCGACCTACTCCGAAGACCCATGACGCATCAACTGACAAAGTTTGATGATTCTAAGCCAATTAGTACCCGAAATATTTGATTAAAGCCATAAATTTTCAAAAGTAGGTCACCGTGACTTACTTTTCAGTTGTTGTACTCCGAGGACCCATGACGCATAAACTGACAAAGTTTTATGATTCTAAGCCATTTAGTACCCAAAATATTTTATTAAAGCCATAAATTTTCAGAAAGTAGGTCACGGTGACCTACTTTTTAGTCGACCTACTCCGAAGACCCATGACGCATCAACTGACAAAGTTTGATGATTCTAAGCCAATTAGTACCCGAAATATTTAATTAAAGCCATAAATTTTCAAAAGTAGGTCACGGTGACCTACTTTTTAGTTGATCTACTCTGAAGACCCAAGATGCATCAACTGACAAAGCTTGATGATTCTAAGCCAATTTGTACCAGGTATATTTAATTAACGCCATAAATTTTCAAAAGTAGGTCACTGTGACCTACTTTTTAGTCGACCTACTCCGAAGACCCAAGATGCATCAACTGACAAAGTTTGATGATTCTAAGCCAATAAGTACCCAAAATATTTAATTACAGTCATATAAATTGAAAAGTAGGTCACGGTGACCTACTTTTCAGTTGACCTTTTTTGAGGACCCAAGATGCATCAACTTACAAAGTTTTATGATCATAGGACTTAAAATGTCCAAATTATGCCTCTAAAACGCTTTGAAATCGAATGCCTGCAAAGTTCAAAAAGTAGGTCACTGTGACCTACTTTTTAATAAATATGTTTTATGGCCCCAAGAGGCATCATCTTACAAGATTTAATGATTCTAAGCCTCCCCGTATTCGAATTAATGACCTTAATTGTTTTGAAAAAGATTAGCCATAAAATTCAACAAGTAGGTCAAGGTGACCTACTTTTTAAGTGACGTACTTTGACGACCCAAGATGCATCAACTGACAAAGTTTGATGATCATAGGCCTTAAATTGTTCAAAATATGCCTCTAAATCATTATGAAAAAGAATGGCCGCAAAATTTGAAAAGTAGGTCACCGTGACCTACTTTTGAGTCAACATGATATGAGGTCCTTAGATGCACCAACTGAAAAGATTTGATGATCCTAGTCCTTATAGTAAGCAAAATATCAACATTTTAATAAAATGTAATTTTTGGTCAACTTTGAAGTGACCTTGAGACCACGCCCTTTGCCCCAGGGTAAATCCCCGTGCAAATTTTAATCTACAACATATCCTCATCTTTTTGTGTAAGTTTGGTGATAATCTGCCCAGTGGTTCTTGAGAAGAAGATTTTTTAGCAACCAGTACTTTTGTTTCTATTTTCCTAATTATCTCCCCTTGTTAAAGGGTCACAACCCCAGTTTTGGTATAAAAGGGAGCCCTTGGGCCAAGGATACCCTGTGACAAATTTGACAATAATTGGCCAAGGGGTTCTTGAGTTATGGCCCATATTCTAAAAAGTTTACGCACACCGCACAAATGGCCATAGCATTAGCTCTTTGAGCCTTTGGCTCAGAAGAGCTAAAAAGTTTAGGCACACCGCACAAATGGCCATAGCATTAGCTCTTTGAGCCTTTGGCTCAGAAGAGCTAATAAAACCACATCTTGTGTTCTTAAACTTAATACACCTTTCAACTATTTTAACTAACAGTATACTAATTCCTAGGCAGTTTAAAATTTTCAGTTATTCCTATGCAAAATTTTGACATCACTGGGGTCTTTCCTTATCCCCCAGGAGCCATCACTTTTTTTTTTTTACTGCTAAAAACTGATTCTCATTTTCAACATGAAACTGATCTCTTATGGATTCTCCAACTGAGTCCTAGTTGTTTTGATTTCAAAGAAGAATGGATTATACAATGCATGGCCGTGTTTGCACACCAATTTGAATAAGGATTTGATCCTCTTTATGGCTATCTTGTCCCTTACGACATCATTTGTACAAAATTTAATTAACACTGCCTGGGATGTTGCTGAACAATAGGTTAATGTTTCCTACTGATGCCCCTTTGTTTTTGGAAAAATGTCAAAGAATTGTTTCTATGCAATCCTTTGTTTTTCCCCATACAAGACATGGCACTTTTACAGTAATGCTACCATGCAACTTGGTAAGTACCTGTAGTCCTCATCAATGCCATTCTGTAGCAAACCATTGGCTGGTAAATTTTCTTGTTTTTCATCTACTCTCTCCCCATCATGACCTTCAAATGGGGAAGGAGTCTTGCTCTTTTTATCCCCTTGTGGATCCATTCCCGGTTCTTGTGGTGGTCCATGCATCTGCAGAATGTACAGGCATACATATAATCCTTAAAATGTTTCACTGCTTATCATTTTTGCATTTTCTAATATGATGCACGATGTATATACTCTATACATGTACCTCCTTACAAGTGCACATATAAGATAGACATCAATACAGTTTCTGTATCAAAAATTTAGTCGGTCCTGTGAAAAGCATGAGACAGTCTGTATATAATTATTTTTTTTATCTTGAACACAGCTTAACATTATACATACAAATTAATGCTTTGGTATTAATCTTACGAATTATAGCACTATAAATCTTGAGGAAGTCAACATTTTTTACTTGAATATTTAAACCCTTTCCCTGCCCAACACTGACACAAGATTTTTAAAAGCACTAGTCCATATGGACTAATTTACCTTGACTTCAACTAAATCTGCAGAGCAGTTCACTTAGTTAGCCAAGAGCTTAAAATAAGAATCAAAATCCTGACATTCTTTGTAACATGTACATGTATCTGCAACTCTCAAAATTCTTCTTCTATACTCAGGACTGGTAAAATGTTTCAAACAAATGATTTTAATCGATACTTTCAAGTGTATAAAAGATGCAGATTATTTGGGTAGTTCAAAACATTAATCAAGACGAATTACTGCAAGGAGAGATTTTAATAGTCTGAAGGACATTTCACAAGTCATTTTGACAGATTCCCAAACATTAGTCAATTTTGAACACGACAAGTCTCAACATACATGTAACCAACTTTTCTAAATACAGGGGACAATACCATCTGAATTTGGTTCCTTCCCTTTGCATGTAATTCAAATTCTAATATAACATACATACCTTGAACTTCCTCATCTGAAAAAGTCAAATATTGCAATTTAGTACGAGATGGACAGATACAAACCAATAAGAGAAACTATCTTAACATGATAAATATTCCACTTGTATATAAATGCACATTACATTTTATGACCTCATTAAATACAATGTTTAAAAATTATATGAAAAAGACAGACTCTGTGACTATGACATCAACGTACCAAATTGTTTTCTTGATGTTTGTTTTCAGTGAATGGTCTTATGAACTTTAAATGATCCACTAGGTGTTGATAGCAACTTTTCATGGGAAAAGTGAAAACCCCAATACTTACATTCTGCATAAATGGGCCAGGTGGTGGTCCTCCCTTTCCCCGGAGTCGGGCATCCAGCTCTTTACTGGTGGGGGATCCACCCAAGACATATTCAACCATGTCTACTCCTAATGCTCCTGGCTCTGTACACAAAATGAGTTACTTCTGTTCAATCTCAATCCATAACTATAATTTTATACATACAATTATACATTATTAAAGGTTTCAGAATGGTGGTCACTGTTGGACATTTTACTTTCTTTTTTCAGGTTTATGTCAAACATGTGCATTTTGTCAGAAAACAAACCTGACATGCTACCTCAAAACTTTAACCAGTGAGACTGAGAGGGCTTTGTCAATAAAAAATAAGGGGAGCAGTTATGTGTGAAAACATCTACATTGTCCCCCAATGGGAAGTGTTCGGTTTAATGTATCCATTTGACTTTGATTAAGTGATTCTTAAATGCACTGGTGTCTTTTCAATAGCATTCTCCATCAATACATAATTTTATAAGTAAAAATGTGTACAATTAAAAAAATTTCAGATTATTGTATCACAAAAGTCATATCAATAATCTCAATCTTTAATCTTGACCCCTGATCAAGTGACCTAGAAAATCTCCTGTCCAACCATTCTCCAATACACAATACAACCACAGCATTACAACATTGCATTACATGGACACATCAATAATCTTAACCTTTAACCTTGACATCAGATCTGGAGACCCCCAAATCTCTAAATATCTTTTTTATCTCTTTTTTATCTATATTTGAACCTTTAACTTACATGTAAGTGAGCTACTTGGACACAAGGCACAAGAAAGGCAATCAAATATAGATGCCAATAGATCAAATGAGTACCTCTAGTGACTTACAAACTAAAGCATATATTTGGTCCTGTATGTGTGTATCCAAATAAACAGGAAACATTTGTTTATCAGTCACTACCTGGTGGATTTCCCCAAGTATCTTCCCTGGTGGTCCATGGATTTCCTGGAAACATTCCTTTCCCCTGATCACCTCCTTGCTTTGGCCCATCTCCAATCTCCCAGATCTTTTTGGCAGTGTTAGGCATCTAAAAGATAAAATCAAAGATGTTTGTAAAACATACAGCATATGCACCCTCACCCTATCCTTTAAGTGGCATACATATATATACAAAAAGTGTGTTATTATATATACTTTTTTTTTTTTTGGAAAACTGTGTTTTAGTGGGAAAAAAATTTGTTGATAGAACTTTGCTTTTACAATCCATCAGAAAATAGGAATCAAGCTATTAAAGTTAAGATTTTTGCTTCTTTGGACCATGTACACTTTCTGCAAATTAACATACTTCTCTGCTAATAGACATCCCATGAAAATCTCTCTCTATGTCTTGTACGGTTGCTATGTTTCGAGACTGAAATGCAGAGCAAATGATAAAATATTAACTGTACAACTATGAATAACATAATAAAAACAGAAATGTCAGTAAAATAGAGAACAAGCCTGTGCAATATAAAATCCATCTACATGCATGGAATTTTCAAACAAGAATAAAGACCAGAAAAATTCAACAATAGCTGTCAAATTCATGATAAGTGTAAAAAAAAAAGTTTATGGTTATCATGCGTCTCTCCTGGGTTGGTGTCTATAGGGCCACGACATATAAAGAAAGAGAGAGACTGGTTTGTTTGCCACTGACACAGCTGCTGGAAGACCACCTGTCTCTAGAGTCAGGGGGCCCTGCTTCAAATTGTTGTCTAATCGTCTTATCGATTACATTTTTTTTCCCCCTTTTACTTCTCTGTAGGGTTGATATTTTTTAAAAAGGAATCTATAGTAATTTCAAGGACTGTAATAATATAAATTGACAAAATTGGACTTCAACATGTTCAAGAATTTCGTTTTTTTCAACTAGTTTCACTGATACTCCCAACAGAAACTTAGATTCCCTTGAGGGGAGAGGGGTACAAAATATTTACACTTGCAGACAAAATTTCATACAGGCTATGTCTTCAAGATGAGAATTTATTCTTGATATACTGACGTGCTCTATGATGCTGTCGTCTCCAATTGCCCATCTCTTATTGGTGTAACTGTTAAGTTCTAAATCAGTCTGAGGGCGCTGGAAAAAATACCCGACAGTAGCATCGTCTTGTGACCGACTTCCAGGAACACTGTTATTGTTTTGTCGACCTGCGATTTCATGAGGTCCATTTGCCATCATTCGCGGTCCGTTCTGCCAAGACACGTCGTTCATTCTGAGTTCTTGGAACCACAGCTCATGCTATACGTTTTCCACCTACAAAAGTATTAACAGTTCACGCCATGACATCCTTTTGTTATCATAGTGCAGGGCATTTCACACTATCAGTGTCTTGCAACAGTCATAACAATGGCGGGAGACGACAGACAGGAAGCTAATCTACATACGTAACAATGAGCTAAAGGAAGAAATTTCTGCAAGAACTAAATTATCGCATTAATAAATAAATTATTGATCTATGATTTGCGCGTGTAGTTTTACCCAGACAATCTACTAACAAACCGTGATGACATCAGATTTCGATGTCCCCTTTAACGTAAACATCACAACATGGCGATTGACAATGTTTTGGTCGAACAAGGAATTTTGGGTAATATGTATGCATTAGCAGTGACGTCATATGGTGGGAAACGTGAACCATACCATGTTAATGTTTGGTTCAGAAAAGATTACAAAGAACATGAAGAATATATATTAAAATAAATGAATAAATAAAAGAAAATAAACTGTGAGGCCATTCATCATTTAAGTTACCAGCAAATATTAATTCCACGGTCATTTTAAAATTCATTTGAAGAAGGAGGGAATATTAATATAAATGGACTATTCTACAAAATAATATACAGTATGTACAAATATAGTTATATCTCGATTAAAATTGATAATAAATTAACCCAACCTTTCTCAACCGAACTAGGAGTAAGACAAGGTGATGTCTTAAGCCAAATATATTCAAAACATTCTTAAATGATCTTTCAAATTTTCTTTAAAAAGACATTAATTGTTAACTCAGTCTCACTTTTTCAACAAGCAAATAGGAGCTTTATTATAGGCAGATGATTTAGTACTATTATCTGACAACCAGCTATCTTTGCGACAAAAGCTCGCTATGCTATACAAATATTGTAAAGAATGGTGTTTGGAAATCAATGTTAACAAAACAAAAATAATTATTTTCAACAGAAGTGGGCATTTAATAAAAGAAAAGTTTTCAATTAATGGTATTAATATAGAATGTGTTAAAACAATTCATATACATGTATATACTTAGGTATAATACTCTCAAATTCTGGTTCTTTCAAAGAGGCAAGGTCTCATCTGTATAACAAAGCTTTAAAGATTGGGAGATTGAAAAAGAAAATCTTCGTATGAAATTTTGTAAATTTATCATTGGATCAGGGAAAAAAGTATCAATATTGCAGTTCTATCAGAGCTGGGTAGACAACCAATATTTTATTCTATTATTATAGCAATTATCTCTTACTGGCATAGACTTGAGAACATGCCCGAGAATTCTTTGTTATACAATGCATACAAAGACAGTATGATCTTGGACAGTTCAGTGTAATATAAATAGTTGGTTTTCAAATGTAACATATTTATGTAAGAAAATGGGCATACTTTGGTCTAAATGTAAATCAATGCAACTATAATAACTTTAAAGAAACAACTGAAAAAAATTAGTAGAGAGGATTTCCTTCAATACTGGTTTATAAAAAGAGAAGAGCTAGGGTTGTCTGTCGGGTAACCTTACAACATATTTCTATGTAACAAAAAGTTTTGAAATTGAAAAGTATTTATTCTAAAAAAAAATTTGAACAAAGAAAAATTATATGTAAATATAGAATAAGTGCACATAATCTCAGAATTGAAAGTGGAAGATATGAAAAAATGTAAACACAGAAAGACAGCAAACCATTCTTGCAAGAAATGAAAGGATTTGTAGAATGTGCAACATGAATTGTGTGGAAGATGAGATTCACTCACTGATTGAATGTCCATTATAAACATGATAGACATGATTTTTTTGAGAATATTGCTAAAAATAATTAAAAAAATTATAGTTTAACAAATAAAGAAATCCTTTTGTGGATTATGTCTAATGAGAATGATATGGTGCTTATCAAGCTGGGTAATTTTTTAATCAATATTTTTAAAATAAGAAATAGTGAATTATATAATGTTAAAAAGAACCAAATAAATGCAAAAGAGTAATAATATTAAATTACTAATACTTTAGTACAAATATACATGTTACAAATTCTTTGTACGTATGCTAATTATCTCTCTCTCTCTCTCTCTCTCTCTCTCTCTCTCTCTCTCTCTCTCTATATATATATATATATATTAAAGCATTTATTATTGGTAATCCCCATCTGCTATAATCATCATCATCTTCTTTAGTTATTTTCTGTTCTTTTCTTTTAATATCGGCATGTTGCTGCTATCAATTTTGAATTTCTTCTTGTGTATATTATTCTTTACTTGTATGCCCTGAGGGGCCCCAAATTGGTATCAATAAATCTTATCTACACATGAGAGGTCAGAGATATATAATTATATATAAAACCATATAAAATTTATGTCTCTGGAGAGGTTAAACCCCCCCCCCCTTCCCTTTCCTCAATCCCCTGGACCCACCACACGTGCAGTTGTTTTAGACTAGATCAGTGTAACAAGCAATTATCATTATTTTATGCTTGCATGCATTTATTTATTATAATATTTTTAAATGCGTTGAATTATGCTTTTATTACATAGTACATCAGTTTATCAAGTAGATGCCAACGAAGTTATCAATGGGGGGGGGGGGGGTAAGTAAGGAATGCCAACTTTCACTGCCACTGCATGCAAACTGCAGGTTGCCACTGTCAACTGCAGGTTGCCACTGCCAACTGCTGACCACCACTGATCATTTACCTTTAATGCTAATAGTTTAATAATCTATCAGCTGATTGCAGAACTGAGGTAATAATTAATTAAAGATAAGAAGAAACTAAAAATGAACGTATTCAGGAATTTTTACGGGGCGGAGAAAGGGGGTACGTAGGTGTGTAATTTCTTCTGGACAACGGAAAATTAACTCAAAATTCTCTGAAAGAAAAACAACCAAAAAACTTTTTTCGGGAGGAGGGTAAGGCGCGGATCCAGGAATTTTTTCCAAGGGGGGGGGGTCCATCCCAGTCAATAAAAAAATTCTTGACAAGCAAATAAAACAAAACAAAACAAACAAAAACAAAAAAAAACTAAATTCTCTTCCCAAACGTATTTAACCCAGAAAATTTCCTGACAAGCAAAAAAAAAAAAAAAAAAAAAAAGGGAAAATCCATTTCCAAACGTGAAAAACACATATTTCGTGGTGGTGATGATGGGGTCAACGTTTTCTAGGGGTCCAAAGTCATTTTTTATTTGCTTCACTATATACTTTTAATAACTCTGCAAATTCAAGGGGGGTCCGGACCCCCCGACCCCCCTCTAGATCCGTGCATGAGGGTTGGGGATTGACCTTTATATATGACACGACAGAGAAAATTAAAACACAGACACACACGTGCACTTCTCAAATACATGTACCTATTTCGGTAGAATGGACCGTGCATTGATTTAAAGAGAGGGGAGATTATATAAGGTAATTAAATGTAAGATTTAGATTTGTTTACATTTATACATTGAAAAAAAAATGTAGAATCCTATATACAAGGCCGTAACTACCATTGAGGAAAGTGAGGAAAATGCTCACTAAAATTTTAGAGTTTTCTGAAAATTGAAAATGGCTTTACTTTGATCTGAAATTATTTGCGTCTTTTTACTAAATTCATTATAATACTTTCAACTTTACTTTCAATTTCTGAAAATCGATCATCTCACCAGGTGCTTCATTATAGTTTAGAAAGCATGTAAAAAATAATTTAAAACATGTGAAAAATATCAAAGACTAAGTTTTAATGTACTAAAACCCAGGTTATGAGACCCCCCTCCCCCCATCAGGGCACTACCCTCAACCCGCTTGGGACTCGAGTGGCCCTCCAGAATCCTTGCCTCACTAAAAAATTGAGCCTAGTTACGGCCTTGATATACATATGTAACTACATACGCCTGTAAACTGCATTTGTTACCAACTCAACTCTATTTCAATCTCAGTTGCAGATCGAGTCTATATATAGCAAGATCGACATGTCAGAGAAGCCAGGTACCGGCATTTTATGGTAATATATCCACTGGATTTCCTTGAGGTCTTGTTTTCCCTTCTTTCCCTCTTTGAAAATCACCATGTATATCTTTGCCACGGAAGTGAAAAATACAATATTATAAGAATTAGATACTCTTTTTTTTTTTAATCGAAATATACTAGAACACGTACATGCATACCATCCATCACTATGATTCTGAATATATATATATTTTTTTTTATAAAAAGTGTATTGTCACAAAATAAAACAACAAAATAATATTTATTGATTGATTTATTCATATTTATTTATCAATTATACTTTATTTATTTATGAATCCATACCCCCCTCCCGGGGGGGGGGGCAATCCTGGTTTTGCCCATCACTTTTTTCCTTCTTATTTAGAGTATATACAAATTCAGTTAAGTTATGCCAATGGCCATTTAAAAATACCCACTACATTTCATATACCTAATAATGAAGAGAACATTTCTGTATGTCAATATCTAATGAAAAAAATATTGTGATGAATGATATTAAATATTAATCTCACAGAAAAAATAGGCCCTAGATATGATATGACAGGAAACAAATGTAATGTAAATCGCTGTATCGTAATCCACAAAACAGATCATTATTTGGTCCCTTAAAAATTACAGCATTTGAATTGAAATCGTTTTGATAAATTAAATCAATGGCATCATTGATCGTTTTAAATGAAATTATTGATTTGAATTCACAGTATTGTATTAAAGATAGACAGATATGATAACGAAGCCCCCCCCCCCCCCAATGAAATTTTTTATTCTATATAAAGACAATACTGGAATTTTTTTATTTTTGCATTCGTAGTAAATATAATTTCTTCCAAAACAATATATTTTCAACAAAGAATTATACAATTTAACACGGAAAGCATGAAAGGTTAGATTTATACTTTCATGGCAATAGAATTTTTTACCGTAATTCACTGTACTTTGAGATATTACATTTAATTTTTCATTTACATGTAATTTGCACTAATTTGAAAACTGCTTTTTAACACAATTTTTTCATATTTTACTTCTGTGATCATTCTGAATTTATGAAATACATTGGTTAAGATTATATTTGACTATTAAAGATGCAATTTTCTGTGCATACCTTCAGTTTGCGAGACGAGTTTTCCGAGAATTTCTTAATAATTTAATGTTTCAAAATAGCATAATATACATACATTGTATTTCATAATGATTTTTGTTTAAAAGGTTAATGTACCTTTATTCTTTGGGGAAAAACACACCCTTTTGCAAATTAAGCACTTTTAAAAGATTGTTTTTTGTTTGTGACAAGAAAATTCGTAATTGGCACAACTCACCTGGACGTTTTGTTTCGTAAATTGAGTCTGCGGTGTGCATTGCTGCGATTTATAACTTTTGAAATCATCCCTACATCATTTCATTCTTTAATGTTTAAAAGTCCTTCAGGAGAGGATAATACTTCTTTATTGTCGAGAAAACTATTTTCCCAAAAATTTTTTTAGAACTAGTGCAAATATTCTTTTTACTGCAGAAAAAAGTTTCTGCCGACCTACATTCACTGCTGAATACTTGTGAAGTGTTTTGGTTGGACACCAGAGGCCAAGCGACGTCAGAACACCGACAATAGAGGTATTTTTCCTCATGTATAGATTTTAAGGTACGTACACATCTGCTAACTGGTTAAGGATTTTATATAATATTTTTTGTATTGAATTTACGTACATTTCCTCCAGCTTTTTCCCCCGCTATAGCCCTTGTGAAAAGAAGTTGTTAATTTGAATTTCCTCTGCTTACATCTAATTCTTTTGTGTTGGTGGCACAATATATAAGTTATAATACATAAGTGTTAGTGTGACCTTCTACTGTGTTAAAGTACAGAGTGGAAATGTGTCCTTATCCTGCCTCTGATAAAAATCTTGAAATTTCATTGGTCGAGAAGAATACTTTATAAAACTATTTTATGTGCCTATCAATATTATATTGTTAATATGCCCACTCCACGTGACCTTCTGACCACATGTCAAATCAGTATACTCCCTCCACACACCATACTGTCCAGATCATATTCATTATGTTGTTTTATTCAAGCATACAAGGAACCTAAAAACTGATGTCACATTAGAATGAATTTTCTATTGTTAAAATGATATTGTCTTACGGACCAGGTTTAACGATAGAATTTGTTCCGTGTATTGGCAATGTAGCAAAGTAAACACGGGTGATAATTTGAACTCAGTGCATTTACTATGATCATTCCAGAGAGTTTCGAATGTCAACATGGCGTGTAAATTTGAAGCGAGTAAAAAACATTGAGAAAATGAGTTGAATTTTCGTTTTTGTATGGATTATTTTTTAGGTTAATTTAGGAATGACTCTAATTCTTGGCCAAATTATTCGAGTATAACCTGGTTTGGGTCAGTTTACGCTTTATAATCTGCGAAGTGGATTATAAAACAGCGTAAACTGACCCAAACCAGGTTATACTCGAATAATTTGGCCAAGAATTAGAGTCGTTCCTTATAATTTAATTTTAAAATCATTAAATAACTAAGGGTGTAAAATTTCGTTGTTTTTATTAGTTCAAATTTGCCGCTCAATAATACAACCGTAGTAATGGAAGTGATGGGAAGCGAGGGGAGGTAAAAACTTATGCATAGGCCTAGCGGCAGCATTGTTGTTTGTTTACATGTGGTAAGATCGAATTATTGTTAAGTTAAAGGTACATTTATTAAATCTGGAATTTTCCATGAATCCTGAGGACTGGAAATGAGAGGATTGTATGGATACAGATGATTTAGCTGGTTGTCAGGGGGGTGTGTCCCCATACCAAACCAGGTTATACAGAAATAATTTGTGTTCCTTTTTGGATATTAACCAATCAGAGGGTAGAATACAAACAAAATTAAATTATAAGGCATATACAATCTCAAAAATGTTTGTTATGATTAATTTGGTAGTTATTTTCAGTGCAACTGCTTTTGTATACTTCAAAATCATTTGGGAGCGGATCTGCTCCAATTTGCTACATTGCAAGTATATGGGATGTATTCTGTGGTGAGGGCTTGTCCCGAGACACAGTTAGATTATTCTAACTAATGTCACGTAAGCATCAAACGACGTCACACTATATACAATTATTGTTTTGCTTAACACAGAGAAAATGAACTTTATTAAAAAAAACTTTGACAGGATAAATTCATTATGTATAGACACTTAGAGGGGGAATACAGAAATATATGGTCCTTGAAAAAATGCATATGCCAAGCCCAATATGCATTTTTTCAAGGACCCCATATATTTCCGTATTACCCCTCCAAGTGTCTACTGTGTTAAGTGGAATCAATTTATCGGTCATTTAAATTTTATAGATTACACAAAGCTGCATTCTGCAAGCCAGACTTCTTCATAGATTGAACGAATACAAGCATCATTTTCTTCAAACTGAAGCTGCATAAAACAGTATAGATATTCATAAGTGTTAAGATGATTTATCTCTCTTATCTGGACAAGGAATGTTGGAAAAACTTTTAAATTGGTATACATGAAGGTACACCCTAGTTCGACAGGAACATGCACTTATTATCAGTACACATAAAATCTGGTCAAAATATAAGTCTTGAGCTATTAAGCTCACAAAGTAAGTGAAGTAAACAGACCATACCCTTTAACCAAATTTTGCACCTAAGAGTTATGTTAAATGTGTTTGACAGTGCGACTTTTGGGATGAGCACACTTGTTATTTACTACTAGATCCATTTAAGGTTTATCTGGTAAGAGAAATAACTCTCACTGGGATAAATGACGATTATTCCTTTATAAATGATGAAATTTAACTAAGATTCACCTCTCTTTAAACTGGCAGGAGACATTTGGAAGGTTTAAAGTTGGACTCAGACTAGACTTTGATGTCACTGTTGATGTGACACAGTTGTTAATTGAATTTTCATAACAGGATCTAAAAAGTTCAAATCTTTAACAAAGAGCATTTAATCTACCATTTATCTGCAATTTCTGTTTACTGTTTTACTGGGTTTTTTTTTAAATTTGTGAGCTTTTGTTTGGTTATCAAAAGAACAGATTATGGGCAGACATATGCAATTTATGGGAGATTGCGGGTACCTATATTGCTGAAGAGAAAAATTCAATTGGATCAATGTTCAACAATCCAATTTTTTTCTTTGATAAGGCATTGCAATAAGAGCTTGCTGGGCTCACTATAAATTATTTATACCTTAGCTGCAGCATATCACCTACATTTTACAGTAATTTGAGAATAAAAGCTTTTTTCAGCTGATTGATTTTCAAATATCTATCAGTTTGTCAAATTAAAATAGGTATATCATGCATTATCCAGGTTTGCATTGTTAAATACATGAAGACTCTTTCACAAGTCACATTGATTTTTGATTTTTCAATATGTTCCAACTCTAGAGTCAAACAATGGAGAATGGGCATAACTTTCACTCTTGACTTTATATTCTCCTCATGTTTATATGAATTAACATTTTTGAGTTCTCAAAAATGTTACAATATTCTCATCCCAAAATTTCAGTTCAAAAAGTTGGAACATATGATGGCAACTGTAGATATAATGGCAATTTTGGATGTATCCATGTATCCAAAAATCTAAACCATTATCACACATTCTCTTTTCTGCATTAAAATAACATGTAACTTTTTCTAAATATTTAGGACGAAGATGCTGGTGCCAATTTTCACCTTGAAAATTAACCATCGTGTGAATCCACACATGGTAACAGTGGGTAGATATGATGGTAAACACACAGCTTTGACATGTGCTACAGCAGCAGGAAAGGTAATTTGATTTTACAAATTGGTATTAGTTGAGTAATGAAATAAAAAAAGAATCATAGAATTTTGTGAAAAGTTTGCATGTGGTCTTTATTTAATCATACATGTGTATATAATTCTAGAGAAAAATGTTCAACAAAGGAGTTGTAAGGGAGGGGGGGGGGATACTGGAATCATCATCTATATGTATGTCTTTGGGTACAAGGTTAAGATCAGATCACTTTCTAGCTTATCTGAAGGGGTATCCATTATTAATGAGATGCATCTTTGACTGTGTCCCTTCGGAGAGTATCGGTCATGTTAATGACAACTTCAAATTAGTTGATCTCCTTTAATCTACCACAAGTGAATATAGTTGAAATCAAGACTCTTAGTTTGGAGTCACAATTAAGAGTTTCCAATTTTCAGTAAGACAAATGTGGCTCAGGTGAGTGCTATGGCCCATGAAACTTCTGATTGCTCTTGATATTATTAGATATGTGATGTTTGTTTTAACCAATGCAAAGTCTCTAAGTACAGTCAAACCTCCTTATGTTGTACTTGACAGAACCAAGATTAAACTTCAAAATGTGCAAGGATTTGAGTTAACGAGGGTAAATAACATAAAGAAAAAGTGGTTGGAACTGCCAACACACTTTGACATATCCCTGGTATTCCATATATTGCTATTGAAGATAACAAAATTCAACTGTATGTATCAATTTTTCAGGTGTTGATTCATAATCCCCATGTCAAATCTCAGAGAGGAGGTCGGGTGGATTCAACTTCTGACAGCGATGTCAATCTTCTCAGTATCAACCAGCAGGTGTCATCCATTTGTGCTGGAAGGCTTAATCCAAATGCTGTCAATGACATACTGGCTGTGGGGACACAAACGAACCTTCTGGCCTACGATATTGATAACAACAGTGATCTTTTCTACAAAGATGTAAGTAATCCCTTTGTAATGAACTGTAGGGAGAGTATAATGTTACTAATATATCTGTGTTGTGGTTAAAATAAAAAGTTAATAGGACTGTTCCTCATCTGATATATACCAGTGCTTGTGTACTGTTTAGCTTTTAACAAAATTAGGGAGAGGTAAACATGGAAATTTATGTTTGGTGGTAATGTACTCTAAATACACAATCTCGAACTTGATGAGACCCGGGAAAAAAACTTTGAGATATCTGAGGATTTGAGATAACAAGGTTAAAGAAAGAGTAGTTGGGGCTTTCAAATGACTTTGACATATCCATGGTATTTGAGATATCCATGTTCTAGATAAGGAAGTTCAACTGTATTTTGTTTAGTATGGACAATAAATAGTATGTATGGTATTACAGAAAGAACCTCCACTCATATGATTTTTGCTACTAATTTGTAACATGCATAAATATCCACATTTACAGTAAAAAATCAAGGGGAGCACTTGCTATATAGGCCTAGTACCATACTGGTATTTTGGCACTGTTACATTGCCAGAATTGTTTACTGTCATTAAAACATCAAGAACAGATTTCACACAATTAAATGATACCCTTTTATTACTTTAATTTCACTATTGTTCATCTACTGGTTTTTCCTTTTCTTTTCTTTATAATTATTACGATTATTTGTATTTAATTTATTGTGTGTATGTAGACACCAGATGGAGCAAATTCCCTGATTATTGGAGAGCTTGGTGAGATACAGGGACCAATGGTAATTATAGGAGGAAACTGCTCCCTGCAAGGATATGATCTCGAGGGAAATGAAAATTTTTGGACGGTAATATATATATATTTTTCTTATTAGACAAGTTATGAAGATATACACAAATACAGATTCATACTTGTGTGCTCAGCCTGAATGAGAAAATTGTTTTTTAATAGATAACTTTCTTATTTGAGCTTTTTTTGATCAGAATATTGTCTTCATCTGTCTCTCTATTCTAGTGTCATACAACAACTTTTATAGATTGATCAATAAAAAGTCAATTTCGAGAAGCTTCCTGACCAAATTTGTTCAAATGATTGCATGGCTGTGCCCTGCTAAAGGGAGAAAATAAAGACATATAGTCAAATCTTGTTATCTGGAACCCGATGGGACGGAAAAAAAACTCAAGTATCCAATGAGATATCAAGGTTATCGATGTTAAAATACAGATAGAAAAGGGTTGGGACTTTTAAGTCATGGTATTCAAATTATCAAAGATAACAAAGTTCCACTGTTTTAAATATAAAGATCCCTTCAATAGACCTACCTTGTCTTATAAAACAATTGTTCTGTCAACGTATACTCAAGTACCTGGAAGTGAAGACTCAAGATTATTCAAAAATCTTGTCAAAGAGATTCATAACTAAGTTTCTGAGACTTACTTTAAAAATTTCTCAAAAATAATACACAGAAACTTAATTTGTCAATTTTTAAACTAAGCAAGTGTGGCAATCAGGCAGGTTCGATCACGGTGGCCAGATAGTTCTGTTGGCAGAGAACCTGACTAGTGATTCAGGGGGCCAACATTTTAATCCTAGTCTGGTCCGTCACATTTTCCTCCTTAGTGTCATGATGACCATGCTCTGGAAGTGAAAGACCTGCCAGGGAAGAACCTAGGTTGGTGTCCTTTGGGACCAAGACCTTTCAGGATGGAGGAATGTGGTGGTCATATGGATTCAACTGGTGGCCAGATAGCTTAGTTGGTAGAGCATCTGACTACTTATTCAAGGGGCCCTGGTCTGGTCTGTCACATTTTTCCAGTTAGACAAGCATCCTCATATATAGTTAAATTTTTTTTTTTGCAAGTCATGACCCAAGGATAAATCCACATTAGGTGTCCAGTGTTTTATATCAAAATAAGTAATCTTATAAAAGTAAGTTGCATGCAAGTTGCATAAGTAATCTTGTAAAAGTAAGTTGCATGCACCATTATGAACCGTAGAATATGTTGTAAAAATCATGCCCGTAGACTTTGTTTAAGATCACAATAATTAGTTTCTTTTCAAATTCCTTCAAAGTAAGTACTATGTGAATCAATGTGCTAGCTGCCAATGATTATGTTTCTTTCAGGTGACTGGTGATAATGTATGTTCTTTGACTTTATTGGACTTTACTGGAAATGGACAGAATGAGGTGAATATATTCAAATTCATGCTGGTTACAAATTTATGTTCTTTATAAAGTATTTGTTGCAGTAATTAAATTTAATTGATTAAAACTGCAGTTTCTTTTATTGCCTTTAGCTGATAGTTGGATCAGAGGATTTTGATATTCGAGTTTTCAGGGAGGATGAAATACTGGCAGAAATGACAGAAACTGAGGTATTTAAACATTTGTATGCACAATAACCATAATACCCATATATTGCTTGTTCATTTTATCTTCGTAGATTGCACTGATGAAAAAGGCTTTTTTAACACAGGGATTGCATAGGGCAAGATCATTTCATGTCTTTAAGTATAATATGTGCATGTAGTAATTTGGACAAGGCTTGAATTAAATGTTAAAGTGTTCTAGCTGTGGAAAATGTTGCCATTCCTCAAGAGAGAATTGCCCTAGTTCCTGGACAATTGAGAATTTCTTCTTGCACAATGCCAAACACATTCCCACAAGGATTAAGATCAGAAATGAGGAATTTCAACACATTGATATTTTTCTGCCAAAAACGTGACTCTTGAAGTGTTAGATTTTGTAATGTCTTTCTTGGAATACATGTACTGTCAATTGTTGGTTGCTTATGAATGGAATTTAGAATTTGCAAGAATATTGTCACTGTTATTTACAGTATTACACGTAACATGTCTCCTGATTATGTTCTTGTAGTTGATAATTTCTTGTACCAGGTATTATAATTGCTACAAGTTTAATTAGATTTATAATTTTTATTTCAGGCAATTACTTGCCTTTGTCCTATGAATCACACTCGTTTTGGGTATGCTTTGGCTAATGGGACAGTTGGCGTTTATGATCGTACATCAAGGTACTGGAGAATAAAGGTATGTTAAAGTAATTGTAGGAAATCATGTAAAATAAAATTTAAAGAGTATGAAAGAAATATGTTTTATGTGTATTTGTCTTTTTTATTGCCCATGCCATTAAGACAGAGAAGAGACATTCCAGGCTACATTAGTTTTTACATCTGTTTGTCCAGTTTTGGTTTCTGGACCCAATTCTGTGAAATGATTTATGAGGGGTAGAGATGTTCACATCTGCATCATTGGTAGATCTTATGAGAATAAGGGTACATTCAAGGCCATAGCAGCTACTTAGCTGCTAATTAGAGGGACAATCTTGAATAATATGCAAACCGGTATACATAGTCATTATGTACCAAATCAAAGATGGCGTTCTGTAATACTGCCTAGTATCACAGGTTTACATAAACTGGTGTTTTCTCTTTTTTTAAATGGCATCAAATGTTTATTTGCAGATACATTTTTGCTTGACTTCACCTAACTTTTTGTTCTGAAATTTAATTATTATGGAAATATTTGTGACTATCTTAAGTCTATGATATCTAGCAGCTAGTTGAGCAGTTCATTCAAGAGAGCAAGATATCTAGCACATATTGGCTAGGTTAGACACTATATGATCCTTAACATAGCTCTGGACTTTGAGTGCTCTTGAGGTCACAGGATCAAAGGGCATGGCTACTTTTACTAGAAATATGGGGAAATGTGCTTTATGAATGATATATGATTTAAATTATATGAACTGTGTAATCAATAGACCTTTTGTTTTTGCAGTCCAAAAATCAAGCATACACAATACACAGTTTTGACCTTGATTCTGATGGTGTACCAGAATTAATCACGGGTTGGAGCAATGGAAAGGTACGTAAGATGAATTATTTCACATAAATCTACTGGGTATATGGTATATCAAAGATTTCATACAAAGTAAAGGAATGGTCATGTTAAAAATAATTCCCTGGCAAAATTGTGTAAGTACTTGGAAAAGGGATGCATAATTATTATTATTAGGTATATCCTCAGATCACTGAGACAAAGGTCTCAAGCCAGTTTTTCTGATTGAAGTTTTTCTGTCATCTGCATGTCTAATTACTTTCCACTTTTCCAAGTTTTTCTTTAGAGAAAACAATTTCAAACAGTCATTCCAATAAGCATGTGTAGGTAAAGAGAATTCAATCTTATCAGAGGAGACAATCAAATATTTGAAAAATTTTAGGTTTTTATTTCATTCAAAATTTTTTTATTCTGAAACCACTTCCTGAGATCAAAGTTTAGGTGAATATCAATAAATGGAAGTTCAAGAGACCATCAAAAAGTTTCTAGAATATTAGACATCAAGTACTGTTATGCAAGTTCTAAATATCGACATGAAAGGACAACTAGTGAGAACATAAATTTGCAAAGTTCAGCAATATGAAAATAAAAGCAAGTACATGTACATGTAATTTCATTTTACAGGTGGTGCCTCTCATGAAATTACTCGATAATAAATTTTTTTCCTATATTTATACAGTATTTGAATAAGATAAATTATTAGTCCTACTGGATCAAACATATTAATGTAGGGTTGGATAATATCCGTCTTATTTCCTATGATACACAAGTATTCTTCAGTTGTGTAACTTAAGTCATTTGATAAATTTTACTAATGCATTTAATTCAGCTTATGGAACATCCATTTGGTATGAGACTTTGCATTAGTTAACAATAACGTTAGTGGATAAGGTAATCTTTGATTATCAATGCTCCATTTAACAGATTGATGCCAGAAGTGATAGAACAGGAGAAGTCATTTTTAAAGATAATTTTACCAGTGCAGTTGCAGGCATTGTTCAGGTAATAGATAAATGTAGTGCTGCTGTTATTTATCATAATTTATAATACATGTATATGTACAATATTTTGTACAATAAAATTATTCATATATCTGTTGACCTTTGATGCCATTTTAAACAGGTTTATTAAAAACATAGATTATATTCAATATACATGTAAATGTGTGTATAAATAAATATTTGAAGGGAATGACATTAAGCAAAATATTTTAAAGTTCAGTTGTCACTAGGAGCATGATTTGTTTAAACAATGAGTGTATTAGCCCATATATTCGTGTTTCATTTTTGTTTAAAAATCCAATTTTTGACATTTTCAATGTAGGCAGATTACAGACTGGATGGATCCCAGCAGTTGTTGTGTGTGTCCACAGATGGAGAAGGTTTGACAGCTAACTATTGTTTTTACTCTCCAACCAATGTCAATTTTTTGCTCAGCTTTCATTTCCTTTCAAATATTGTAAACTTTGTACATTTTCATTTATTTAATCTTAATTAATACATATAGTCTGTAGTTATTTATCAAAATCATCAGCTTAGTCTACATGACCATACTCTTCGAATACAGACTTCAGAGTATTTTTGTAGTCAAAGGATACAATCCAGCACCAAGAGAAATGAGAGGTAATTTAATGGATTCAAATCTGGAACAAGACACAGTCAGAGAGTTAGGAATGAGGAAACAGGTATGGTGCAATTTCAAAATTAAGGATACTATCCAAATCAAAAATGATCGAGGCACTCATATAAATTCTAGAAATAATCTAAACATTGAATTTATTTTAGAATTTGTTGATGGAGCTGAAAAATTACGACCAGAATGAAAAGGCTGGGGTAGTTGCAGCAGCAGCCATGCAAGGGGCTCTACAGTCGGGGGTTAAGTTCTCAGCTGAACGGCCTTTTCCTGTGGGGGAGGAGTATGACAAGGAGAAAATGGGGGTCATACCAGTATGTACATGTAGTGTAATATTAGTCCCCCTTAAGTTTCTTTTTGGATATGAGGGAAACTGATACAGTGGATGTAATAAGATTCTATATAATTAATCCAGTTTATGTCAGATCAGTATGATGATTTAGTTAAACAAGGAGTATAATATTCACCAAGCTAGAAGGGAAAAATGAATATTGTACTTTAAGTGTTGCTAAATTACCACATTGACCAGAAAAACAAAAATAAATTTATAAATCTTTTGATGTTTTAGCCAAACACAATGAGACACATGGGATTTCATTGGATGACAAAAATAAACATATTTAATCAATTTGAAGTACCCAATCTTTCTTTGTTACAAGGTAGAAAAAAATCAAATGTTGTTCCCCTGGAAGGTCTTGTGCAGATGAACATAACTTTTTTTTTTTTTTTTTTTTTAAAAATATATGATTTTAAGAATGCTGGATTTCAGAGAGCTATGGATCATCTAATCATATACTAGTAATAAAATTCTTTACAAATGTAATGATTCCCAATTTGATTTTTTCTGCTATTGCTACTAAAATATAGTTGCCTTTGAAATACATGTATTCTGAATTGCTTCACAGATTTTGTAGGCTTAAATAGAATATTTTATGAAATTGGACTAATTCAATTTGTTTAAGTTTTTGTATTGTAGCAATCTCTGCAATTTTTCTAGTATGATTTACTCATTTTAATTTATTTTGTTATTTATTTTCTTTTTTATTTTGAAAGGCAGCTACCCAGTTACAAACAACTTTAACTGTGAACCCTGGAGATGATACCAAACCAGTAAGTTTGGCTTCTAAGCCTGTGGATTTTATGTATAACAAACACCACTGGTTTTGAAGATTGGTAAACTTAGCCAAAATACAGAAGTGCAGTAAAAACATATTTACATGCTTATGATGAATTCTTACAGGGATTATAAATCACTTATTTATAATTATCTGATCAAATGAAAATATTTTGTCCCTATTACTTTGCTATAAGCATGTTTTACATATTAAGTTTGCATGAATGTGCAAGTTAGTATAAATTCTTTAAAAACAAGATGTATCTCTGAAACACTGATGCCCCCATATGGCAGCTCATAGCCAAGGTTAAAGTTTTTCAGAAGTTGGTCAAACTACCAAGTTCAAGGTCATGAGGTCAAAAATGTTGGTACCTTAAGAAAGGTCTTGTCAAGAGGAATACAATTGTGAAATATGAAAGCCCTAGCTAGCACCAACCATTTAGAAATTATGGCCAGGGTTAAAGTTATACAAAAGTAGGTCAGCTCCAAGGTTGAGGTCACAAGATAAAAAATGTTGGTAACTTTTAAAAAGGTATTGTCAAAAAGGAATACACATGTGAAATATGAAAGCCATAGCACCAACCATTTGAAAGTTATGGCCAAGGTAAAAGTTTTACAAAAGTAGGCCAAACTCCAAGGTCATAAAGTAAACATAATGTTGGAAACCCAAGGAAAGGTCCTGTCATAAGGAATACTTATGTGAATATGAAACTCCTAGCACCAAACATTTAATAGTTATGGCCAAGGTTAAAGTTTTACAAAAGTAGGTCAAACTCCAAGGTCATGAGGTCAAAAATGTTGGTACCTAAACAGAGGTCTTGTCACAAGGAATACAGATGTGAAATACGAAAACCCTAGCACCAACTGTTCAAAATTAATGGCTAAGGTCAAAGTTTTTGCAGACAAACAGACAGACAGACTAAAATCTCTATTCTCCCAAATCTTCGATTATGGGGCATAATAAACTTCTTTAGAATTATCTCAAGATTAATGTTGTGTTTCATTAATTCTTGGAATTCATTGACTGTTTCAAAGTAATATAGCCATCTTAGTTTTTGTCACAAAGGTTACATTAAGGTGAATTTTTGTCACAAAGGTTACATTAAGGTGAATTTTAATGATTTTCAGAATTTTTTTACATCTGTTAGCTGGACAGAAATACATTTCTTAAATCTTGTATGATTTTCTAGTTTAGTTTTTTTTTATTTTAGCCACATGTGGAGCTTTTTATTGGAACAACAAATGGTATGCTAGAATATTTTCTGTATATGTATTAGCAAATTAAACAATGAAATGCTTTTCTTTGATAATGCATGCAGGAATAACAGTTGCAACAATTGCAGAAAAAATGTACAACCCACTTACGCATAACCTGCATAAGTGGGTTGTAAATTTTTTCTGCAATTGTTGCAACCAGTATTCCTGCATTAACAAACAAATATTTTTAGAGTTGAAAATTATTTAGAAGTATATCTACACTTGTAGGTGCATATATTCTCTTAGGTTAATGAGCCAGTAAAATTTTAGTACAATTGATTTCAATTAAATTGGACACCTTATTTAATTTACAGACACCTTGGTTCGAGCTGCTTTGATATTTGCTGAAGGAATCTTTGAAGGAGAAAGCCATGTTGTGTAAGAGCTTCATTCCATTAAATTATTAGTGATTTAAGTTATGTAATTTATTATAGATTACTCTTGTACAAGTTTAGTACAGTTCAACTTCATTATCTTGAACACTGATATCTCGAATACTAGTCCCATGGATATGTCGAAGTGATTTGGAAGTCCCAACCTCTTATTTTTTAAGTATTTTACCCCTGATATCTCAAGTCCTCGGATATGTCGAAGTTTTATCTCGGTCCCATTGAGTTTGAGATAACAAGGTTTGATTGTATTTAAAAGGAGAATTCTTTAGCAGCAATGCTCATCAGAGTCCAAACTGTGTGGTAAATGAATATGCTTTGAGCTGCCTACACTGTTGTAGTCTATAATAAGCCAAAGATCATGATTTCAGTTATTTAAATCTGCAGTGTAAATGTTGTTGTCTACTTTAGTGTGACAATTAAAAACATATAAATCTTTAAACTTTTGTTGAGACTCTTCCCGAACCTAGGGGTCAGTGAATTTACATGAAGGATTACTTTGTAGACCTAGGGGTCAAGGAAATTATGTAAAGAAATACTATATCTGTATAAGGAGAGATTGATGGTTTTGCAATTTTTTGCACATATGTGATTGAGTGCTCAGTGCTGTAAGATAATTGATGAAGAATGCCAAAATATAATCGTAAACTGTATACCATGTAAGTGGAATTTTTAACAAGATGCAAATTTAGTGATTTGTATTTGAAAATCAGTGTTTAATTTTAGAAGTAATTTTAGTGATTTTATGATGCATAGAAAGGTAATGGTAACCTCTAATGTGGAATAATTTGTTAGTGATATTTAATTTTATCAATCTTAACACCCTCACTAAAATTGAATCCTTGCTAAAATTTCTGCTTATATGGTAATTATATCCCATTTAAAATGATTGGGATAAATCACTCATATATATATCCTTGACATACCATCTGGCAAAAAAAAAACCCACACCAGTACTTTTACAAAGTGCTTGATTCAGCAAAGTAATATACATATTTTTTTTACAGACATCCTCATCCAAATGCTTTGTCTAATTGTGTCCGTGTACCAATCATTCCACCTAAAGATGTTCCAGTGGATTTACATATAAAGGCTTTTATAGGCTATAAATCAAGGTACTGATTAGAAGTATTAACTGATTCATTAAAATATGCATGTATGTTTTTGAAAATCACCTTCACTGCTCTAGGACTTCTAAACTGTGGGTATGATTATTTTCAGCATCCAGTTCCATGTGTTTGAATTGACCAGGCAACTACCAAGGTTTTCAATGTATGCTCCATGTCGAAAAGACTGTCCAGAACCCAAAAGCAGCTGTACCTTCCAAGTCAATGAAAGAATGCAGAGAGTAAGGAAAATTTGTAATTTAAAACCATTAAAATACACTTCACCTAACTGCCTTAGGATGATACACTTACATACATGTATATTGATATTCTATTACAGGTGTTGTTGTGGGTTAACCAGAGTTTCCTCTTACAAGATGATATTGATGCTGAGGGCGTTCTTAATGTTGCTTTTATGTCTCTTAGAGGGTCTGGACCATTGTTTCTTAAAATGGAAGCACAGGGTTTGGTAAGATCTTTAATGCATCAATTTTCATATGAGACCTTTTAGATATATATCCCCTTGAAAGCTAGATTGCTTAATAGGTTTGACTGTACATTAAAAGCTACTTGTAATTGAATTTACAGATGACAATTAAGACAGAGGATATGGATTTAGCGGGTGATATCATTCAATCTCTGTGTCAGTTTTTGAACATTGATGATATGCAGGTTACCGCAGACTTTCCAGAGGAAATGGAAAAACTAAGGCAAATCCTTGTCAAAGTATGACTTTTTAAGTTTTAGATAATAAGATTCCACTAGGCTTTAAATAGTCAAACTACCATGTTAACGTCTTTACACATAACAGAGTACAAAGTCTTCTTCAAATAATTTCACTGAAATATTTTTGTTTACCATTGGGGCACCTAGCTGACAGACTTTGTTCATGAGTATGTCGAGGAATATGCCTTCTACCAGACTTTGTAGTTCTTGTCCAAATGAATTCTGAAACTTGATGTCCACTAGCTATTATGCAGCTGACAAGGACAGTCTTTGTCACAAGAAACATTAAACATTGTACATGTATTGTAAGCATGTCAGCCAAATATTTTTACCTTACTGCCTGTTCTTGACACACATATATATGAATCTGATTTCTTCATTTTATTTTAAAAGGTTGATGAATTTCATGCAGTTAGACAGAAGCTAACAGCTGAAATGGCTGACCATTCCAATCTGATAAGAAGTATGGTTGTGAGGGCAGAGGATGCTAGACTTATGGGTGATATGTAAGTGTATTCTAGGTAACATAGCAGCTTCCAGAGTAGATATTTCAATGTATGCTTAATCAAGGCTATGCTAAACATATGTGAAAAAGATGTTTTTTTCTATAAAATAAAAAGTACTTAGTCCAAATGTCCTTGTATTCCCTATATAGTATAGATTTGAATGAGTAAGGCCATAAATATCTTGCATCATTCATGGATTTTTTTAATAGGAAGAATATGAAAAAAGGCTACATGGAGTTATACAACATGAACAGAGACTTAATCAGTGGTTATAAAATACGCTGTGGCAATCATCAGGAATTATTAGCATGTCTGAAACAGCTCAATCAAATGATACAGAAAGCAGGGAGGCTCAGAGGTACATGTATTGTTAAGGGACACAAGCAGTATACTTGAGTAATTTTTATGCCCCCGTATCGAAGGTTCGGGAGTATATAGTTTTGCCCTGTCCGTCCGTCTGTCTGTCTATCTGTCCGCAAAAAATTTAACATTGCCCATAACTTTTGATTGGTTGGAGCTATGGCTTTCGTATTTCACATGTGTATTTCTTGTGACAAGACCTTTCTATGGGTACCACCATATTTGACCTTGACCTTGGAGTTTGATCCAGTTTTGCAAAATTTTACCCAACTTTAACCTTGGCCATAACTTTTGAACAATTGGTGCGAGGGCTTTCATACTTTACATGTGTAATCCTTAAGATAAGACCTTTCTTTGGATGCCAACAACTTTGACCCTTTGACCTTGATCTTGGAGTTTGACCTACTTTTAAAAAATTTTAACCTTGGCCATAACTTTTGAACCGTTGGTGCTAAGGCTTTCATACTTCACATATGTAATCCTTGTGACAAGACCTTCCTTTGGATACCAACAACTTTGACCCTTTGACCTTGACGTTTGACCTACTTTTGAAAAACTTTAACCTTGTCCATAACTATAAAACCGTTGGTGCTAGGGCTTTCATACTTCACAAATATAATCCTTGTGACAAGACCTTCCTATGGATACCAACAACTTTGACCCTTTGACCTTGGAGTTTGACCTACTTTTAAAAATTTTTAACCTTGGCCATAACTTTTGAACAGTTGGTGCTAAGGCTTTCATACTTCACAAATGTAATCCTTGTGACAACACCTTCCTCTGGATACCAACAACTTTGACCCTTTGACCTTGACCTTGGAGTTTGACCTACTTTTGAAAAACTTTTAACCTTGGCCATAACTTTTGAACCGTTGGTGCTAGGGCTTTCATAATTCATATATGTAATCCTTGTGACAAGACCTTCCTTTGGATACCAACAATTATAATCCATTGACCCTGACCTTGGAGTTTGACCTCTTTTTGAAAAAAACTTAAAGATAGGTCATAACTTTTGAACGATTGGTGCTTCAGCTTTCATATTTCACCAGTATATTTCTTGTGAGAAGGCCTTTCCTTAGGCACCATTAATTTTGAATATTTGACCTTGACTTTAACCTTTTCCATATCTATTCAATGGTTGCTGCTAGGGCTCTCATATTTCACAGGTATATTCCTCGAGACAAGACCTTACTTTGGGTACCAACATAATTGGTTTGCATTTGAGAAAGTTTAACCTTTGCTATAAGTTGCCATACGGGGGCATCAGTGTTTCATAAACACATCTTGTTTTTTTTGGAATCAGTTTGTGAACTTAATGGAGTAGAATTTCACATTTTATCATTTAACAACCTGTTTCAAGCAACCATAATCCACAATTAGAGGCACTAGTTCAGGATTAATTTACAAAATTTAAGTCTCATCTCTTTTTCTATGGTGACCTTCCATATGAGAGATTTTTTTATCCCCTTATTCTTTTCCATAATGGATGAACTCAAAACAAAGGACAAATACTTAAAAGGACTTTACAGTATTACCCTAGTTCAAAATCAAGTGATACATTCAATTCACAAAATTTTCTAGCATGCTCTAACTTTCAATATGACTGATAGCAAATCTAAAATACAGGGCTGTTGGGCTTTTGTACAGATATAATAACATACAATGTTAATGTTAGTCAATTTAGAACTAGAAAGTTGTAGCAAACTTTGTTAAACTTGAGTGAAAATAACACAGAGAGAAAGTTTCCCACTCTATGAAAAACTTGAAAGTAACCTATAAACATTTATATTAACAAGAGTTATTTCCCTTTGTGGGGTCAATCTAGGGTCAACTGGCGTAAGTTACCATTTTCCCTCTATAACATTACCAACGTACGGGCAGTATCTGATGTACAAAATCCATATGTGTACCTTTATTATGTTTTTAGCTCTTCTGAGCTGAAGGCTCAAAGAGCTAATGCTATGGCCATTTGTGCGGTGTGCAGTGTGTGTAAACTTTTTGGAAAATGGGCCATATCTCAAGAACCCCTTAGTCAATATTTTTCAAATTTGTCACAGAGTATCTTTGGCCCAAAGGCTTACATTTATACTAAAACTAGGGATGTGTCCCTTAAACAAGGGGAGATAATTAGGGAAATAAAAACAAAAGTAGTGGTTACTAAAAATCTTCTTCTCAAGAACCACTGAGCAGATTATCAGCAAACTTATATACAAGGATGAGGATATGTTGTAGATTAAAATTTACATGGAAAATCGTCCTGGAGCAAAGGGCGTGGTCTCAAGGTCACTTCAAAGTTGACCAAAATTTACGTTTTGTTTAATCTTTTATATTTTGCATACTATAAGGTCTAGGATCATCAAATCTTGTTAGTTGATGCATCTTCGGACCTCATATCATGTTGACTCTAAAGTAGGTCACGGTGACCTACTTTTTGAATTTTGCAGGTATTCATTTTCATTTAATTTTGATGCATAACTTTGAAGCCTATGATCATCAAAACTTGTCAGTTTATGCATCATAGGACCTTGAAGTGTGTCAACCAAAAAGTAGGTCACTGTGACCTACTTTCTGAATTTTATGGCTTATCATTTTCTAGACATAAAAGGTCATTATTTCAGATACTAAGAGGTTTAGAATCATCAAACCTAGTAAGTTGATGCACCTAGGGGCCTTAAAACAGATTTATCAGAAAGTAGGTCACAGTGACCTACTTTTGGAATTGTTTTAGGGGCATATTTTGGACACTTTGAAGCAAAGGATCATCAAACTTAGTCAGTTGATGCATCTTGAGGTCTCTGAATGTGTCAACCAAAAAGTAGGTCACCTTGACCAACTTTTGTAATTTCATGGCTTAATTTGAATATTTCAGATACTAATTGGCTTAGAATCATCAAACTTTGTCAGTTGGAGCATCTTGAGTCCTCAGAGTGAATTGACCAAAAAGTAGGTCACTGTGATCTACTTTTGCAATTTCATGGCTTAATTTAATTATTTCAGATACTAATTGGCTTGGAATTATCAAACTTTGTCAGTTGAAGCATCTTGAATCTTTGGAGTGTATCAACCAAAATGTAGGTCACTGTGACCTACTTTTGCAATTTCATGGCTTAATTTGAATATTTCAAGTACTAATTGGCTTGTAATTATCAAACTTTGTCAGTTGATGCATCTTGGGTACCTGGAGTGTGTCAATCAAAAAGTAGGTCACTGTGACCTACTTCTGCAATTTCATGGCTATTTCAGATAGTAGTTGGCTTAGAATCATTAAACTATGTCATTTGATGCATCTTGAATCCTAAAAGTGTGTCAACCAAAAAGTAGGTCACCATGACCTACTTTGGAATTTGATGGCTTTTTCATTTACTGATTGGCTTAGAATCATGAAACTTTGTCAGTTGATACATCTTGAGTTTTCGGAGTGTTTCAACCAAAATGTAGGTCACTGTGACCTACTTTTGCAATTTCATGGCTTAATTTGAATATTTCAGGTACTAATTGGCTTGGAATTATCAAACTTTTTCAGTTGATGCATCTTGGGTACCAGGAGTGTGTCAACCAAAAAGTATGTCACTGTAACCTACTTTTAGGAATTTGATGGCTATTTCAGATACTTATTGATTTAGAATTATCAAACTTTGTCAGTTGATGCATCTTGAATCCTCAAAGTGTATCAACTAAAAAGTAGATCACTGTGACCTACTTTTGCAGCTTCATGGCTAAATTTAAATATTTCAGATACTAATTGGCTTGGAATTATCAAACTTTGTCAATTGTTGCCATGCTGACCTACTTTTGGAATTTCAAGGCTTTATCCTTATATATAGATTACCAAGAGGCTTAATACAGATGAGATTATAGGTTGTACAATTTTCAGAAGAGTGATTCTAGGCCCTTGGGCCTCTTGTCTTTGTTGTCCATACCTTGCTAATATAGGTATGGTATGAAATTGTCAAACCATGTTTAAAGATTTAATATTTTTATAGGTACTGTAAGTTACAACGGACATAGAGAGAAAAATGGGTGCTATGTCGACAAAGAGAAATAACTCTTGCAAATGTGAAATTCATCTATTATTTTCTTAATCTCGTGAAACCTTCAACCCATACATTAAATGAAAAACATCTTTTGTTCTTTCAGTGGGCAAATATAAAACACAGGTGGTCTCAGCATGCAGAGCAGCAATCAAGAGCAACAATGTCAGCGCTTTGTTTAAAATAATCAAGACTGGAGCATCGTAGAAGCAGATAAACACTGAGTAATGGACTAATGGAGCAACTTAACACTGAATAATGGACTGGTGCAACTTAACACTGAATAATGGACAGGAGCAATGCTATTTATTCTATTTGTACATCAGTTTGCTTTGAAGTTTAAGTAAACTCCCCTGCTCCTTTCTCTCTCTCTCTCTCTATCTGCCATGTTATGTGTGTCAAGTACATTTGGTTAAGGCTACTGACAGGATATGAATGACACTTGGTGGGGATATCTTTTTTTTTTTAGTTCACTCTTGGTATTTCTACTTTACTGTAATAGAGATGTGGTGAATTAAACTGTGTAAGCAATGGTGATTATGAAAAATTAATCCATCCCATGAAAGCATTGACGTGTAACTAATAATTACTGGTATATAAAGTCTACCAATGATATAATACAGTATTTAGTTGATGACCTTGCATCCATCAATGATAAATTTGTATCATAAGTAAGATATACACATACTTTAATGAGGTAATTTGTATCATTAGTGGACCTTGTATCATTAGTGGTTAACATATGGCACTTGATTCATGATATAGTAATCTCATTAATGGATGCAAATGTAATCACTAAAATTACACGAAATCATGAGTGAATTTTGTATCATTAGTGGTAATGTACAATAAAAAAATGTACATTACATATTGTTTTTTATTACTTGTGTGATATTTTTTACTGTAAGTTTCATTTTTGTTTTTACTTTGTCTACTGATATCTACTGATATACATAAGCCGTCCTTAATTACATTGTGCATTGTATTGTGCTATATTTTTTGCTTTCAACAAGCAACATGCATATACATTTACTTGTATATATGTTAATTTATGACCTTGTTGGAACACGACACATACATTATTTTGAAATAAAGTAGTATGAAGACAATATCTGAGTTTGCCAGATTTACAGTAAAACTTGTCTAATCCGGACACCACTGGTTCCATAGACAATATATTAAACAGAATTAACTGAAAGGGGCTTACATTTTACATCACTTTAGGCAAGATTTCTGTACACAACATCCGGATTAGACAAGTTTTACTGTATTTACAAAATACTAAAGTGCTGAAGTCCTTTATGTATGGTTTTATTTTTCCCAATTAACACAAGGAAAATTTTGCGATGAACATTGTAAAACAGTTCTGTGTTATATCTATTGATACAGTCAAACTTTGTTTTCTTAAAGGTGAACACAACTCGTAAATAGGTATGAGCCATATTAATTTTCCCATCTCCTATATTAGCATGGGTATATAAACTCTTTGCATTCATTACACCTGATTGCTTTAAGCTGGTCGCTGTGACATGTATATCTTACATTGTCCTTTTTGTTTACCGGTATGTTTTATTTCATTGAAGGTGCATTTGTATTTCACTTTATAATGCATTGACCTGTGCAGTTGATTTCTAATATCTTTTGATAACTTTTTTTCCTGACGTGGCAAAGGCATACAGAAATGGTTTTTGTTGCATCAAAGTGATATCACAATGAATGGAGACATGGAAATATGTATGTTCATGAAAAATAGGTTTCTGGCCTGTATATGATAGAGATAGTAACTAAACTATCTTGATAGAGACTAAAACTGCCAATTTCTTAACAAATATGTTGCTAAAATCCATGTTACAACACAACTGTTAAGCTTTGACGTCTCAACTGTTCAACTATGACGTCACAGCCAATGACACTGTGCTAAGAAAAGACAGTTGTTAATGGATGTGTAATTTATTTTACTCATGAGACAGAATTTTTGGATATTTTCACTCGTGCTTTGCAATCGTGAAAATATAAAAAAAATCCTATCCCACTCATGAAATAAATTCCATATCCAACTACAAAAAAATTGAAGATCAGCATATATATATATGTATATGTATGTATTATTTATTTTTTTTAAAATGAAGAGACAAAATGATTGCTTTAATTTATCAAACGTTAGATGTACTCAATTAAGCAGGGGAAAAATATATCCCAGTCGGGATATTTGTCATTGCTTTGGAAAATTGTGTCATTTTCAAAATGTTCAACAATTAATTCTTCAAAGAGAAAATTCTGTTAAATATCAATGCATAATTTTTTTTATTATTAATTTATTTATTATTCCAAACAATCAAAATTAATTTGAATTACCATATCTATATTGGATTCCGAAACTTCATAAAAATCCTTACAAACAAAGATACATAGCGGGTTTCAGTAAATGTTCAACCAAGCCTCCTTCCTTACTCCTCACTAAGATATTGACAGTAGTGAAGGAGAAACTTCAAGAGTACTGTGCAACAATATAGTCGAGAAGTGGTGTAAATCAGACGTGGATACTTAAAAATTCCAAGGAACTTTCAGAAAATTTGAAATCACAAGATTTTACCAAAATCAACAGCTTAAAAACTTACGACTTTTCAACTTTATACAAAACCATTCCTCACGATAAATTAAAGTCCAGGCTTTTTGATATCATTGACAGCTGCTTTTTCAATAAAAATAGAACTCGTAGATTTTAGTCTTACCTTGTCATTGGTCATTTGCAAAATTATTTTGTTAAAAAACATTCTGATTGTACACACAAGTACTCTGAAGTTGACATTAAAAAGATGCTTGAGTTTCTGATTGACAGTAGATCTATGTGGTTTTTGGAGACCAGGTCTTCCAACAATCTGTTGGAATTCCCATGGGAACCAATTGCACCCCGTTATTAGCAGACTTTTTTTTGTATTCATATGAAGCAGAATTTGTCCGAAATCTTATACGTGAAAAGAAGAAAACACATGCTGTGGCCTTCAATTCGACATTCAGATATATCAACAACGTATTGTCAATTAACAATGGTTATTTCCATTCTAATGTCGAAAGATATATCCCAGTGAGCTTGAGATAAAAGATACCAAAGAGTCGATCTGACACATCTGTTTCATATTTGGATATTTTACTTGAAAAAGAAGTTAATGGTAATCTAACAACCAAGCTTTATGATAAACGTGATGACTTTAACTTTTCAATCGTCAACTTCCCTTACTTATGCATCAATATACCTTCATCACCTGCATACGGGGTTTATATCTCTCAGTTGATTCGATACGCAAGAGCATGCTCCACGTATGTACAATTGCTAAAACGAATTAAACTAGTATTAATTGTAACGGGGACCGTTACAGATGTTCCCCAAACGCTCCCCAACTTCCTTTTGGTGTCTTATTCCCTGTAAGCTTCATTAAATAAGGCAATCAAGTATACTGGGGTTTTTTTTTTACGCATTACTTGCATGTACAAAATGACCATGTCAACTTGTCTATACTTTTAATACATCTTTATATTCAAATTTCATCAAAAGATAAAAAAAATTTGGCTATATTAAGTACATCTGTCATTTTACGCATTGCAAGCACGCGCACGTGCATGCATGTTCATCATGACCGTGTCATCTTGTCAACACTATTAATATATCTACATATTTTGAGTATCAAAGCATTTCATCAAAAAGTATAAAAGTTACAGCTATATCAAGTATATTGGTCATTTTAGCATTGCATGCGCGCGCACGTGCATGCAAGTGCATATTGACAATGTCGTCTTGTCGACATTTATAATATGTCTATATTTTCTGAGTATCAAAGCATTACATCAAAAAATGTAAAAGTTATGGTTATATCAAGTATATTGGTAATTTTACTCATTGCACGCGTACGCCCGTGCATGCATGTGTGCGCTGACCATGTCATCTTGTGTACACTTCTAATATATATTTATATTCTGAGCTTCAAAGCAATTCATCAAAAAATGTACAAGTAAAGTCTATATCATTTGTATTGGTTATTTCAATAATTGCGCATGTGCACACGTGCATGCATGTGCATTCTGACCATGTCATCTTGTCTACACTTTTAATATATCCTGATATCCTAAGTATCAAAGCATTTCATCAAAAGATATGAAAGTTATGGCTATATCAGGTATATCTGTCATTTTAGCCATTGTACGCGCGCGCACGTGCACGCACGTGCATGGATGTGTGCGCTGACCATGTCATCTTGTGTACACTTCTAATATATATTTATATTCTGAGTTTCAAAGCAATTCATCAAAAAATGTACAAGTTAAGTCTATATCAATTGTATTGGTTATTTCAATGAATGCGCATGCGTGCACGTGCATGCATGCGCATTCTGACCATGTCAAGTTGTCTACACTATTAATATGTCCTTATATTCTGAGTTTCAAAGCATTTCATCAAAAAATATAAAAGTTACAGCTATATCAAGTATATTGGTCATTTTACGCATTGCACGCGCACGCACGTGCATGCACGTGCGCGCAAAATGACCTTCGTTCCGCAAATCTACATAACATTCCTATTAACCCTAAAAAGGTTTCACCTCAATCGGATGTGTAGTTTCGAAGATCACTCACGGACAAAAAAGTACCCAGGAAGAAAAATAATAATAACTAGACTCTTGTTGCCATGGCAACAAAAAAGTCTTCCGTTCTTCTAAATCTGTGAGAATTTGCTTTTTTTCTGTGTAAAAAACATACATATCATATTTACTGTGAAAGAAAAAAAAACTGGAAAAAATGTCCTTTCAGTACTTAAGGTACTTTGATTTTCATTATCAATCTTGTATAATACATTTGGCACCTATAAGAGATATACGTATATCATTACCAATTTTAAAAAAAAATTGTTTGCAATCATTTCTAAGACAAACAAACAGACGAACGAACACCGTACTATCATTAATTTCACTGTGTATATGTTTTGGCATAATTGTGATGGTGTTATAAAAAAATATAATGATTAAGTTAGTATCACATTAAACGTAAAGTCACTGAGTTTTGTAAAGTTATAATATCAAGATTTGACAGCATACCTATAAGACAGATTATTCTTTAGCAATCGATTGATTGATTGATTATACGTATGTTGTTTAACATCCCTCTCCAGAATTTTTCATTCACATGGAGATGCCACCACTCGCCGGTGGAGACTGCAAATTTTTGTCCTATACTTTGGCACTTATATTATCGCAATTGAGCAGTGAGGAATCTTTTTTATGCCAGCACCTTCTGCGACAAGGGACCTCGATTTATACGATCTCATCCAAAGGACCGGTCTCCACGTCCCACAATCGAGATCCATAATACCGAGATATTTTATTTTTTATTTTATTCTATTCTTTCACAAGTTTGTTGCATCAAATTTACGCAAAGATCATACTTCAAGATCATTTCGAACTCAGGCTACTTAATTGCAGTGCATACAGCGTCAAGTGATTTTGATTGACAGGTCAACACACGTGCACTTCGTGTGATACTTTTTAAGCTGAAAAATATACAGGATGTGACCATGACTGACTATGAAATCAGAAAACATCTAATAAAGAATGGGTGTGACCGATATAGAACTAATTTTTGGTCTATGTAAATGGATAGGAGGATCGGGATTAAGAGGGAATCTCTCTCTCTCCCTCTCTCTCTCTTTATCTCTCTCAGACGAAAATTGAACATTTCATAATGACAAATCTACCATTATAGAATATGAAATTCTGTATACATGTAAATGGTAATTATATTCACATGTTCCAGATTTAAATCTAAAACGAATATATAATTCAAATGCCTAGCTGCACGAACGTCTCCAAATATTAATCAAGACGAGGGGGGGGGGGGGGCTTCAAAGGAATTAGATAGTTTTATGTTTTATGAATTATAAGGAAAAGTACGGACGTCAGTTGCATGTACATAATTATATATTGTGTTCATTCAGGTATACTTATCCCACATATCAAGAGACCTGTGCAATTTTTTTATCATGGTTTTTTTTTCAAAAGAAACATATAGCGTACTATTATTTCACACAGAATCGCGTTTTCACATATTTTTTTTAACTCTT